TTGAAACAACATAATCACAAAACAAACACAACTATTTACATTTTTCATTTACAAACATGAACTTTACTTTATGTTTAAGTATTTACTAAATTAACTTTGTAAAGTCTATCAAATTTTTACTCTACTTTTATTTGTTTCGATTAATAACAACCACTTATGCTACTCCACTAATAATCAGAAAAGATCATTGTCTTCAACATAGTTACAACATCAAATTTCTGAACATAGATCTCTTCACCAAGGCCACAAAATAAATCGCACCTTCTTTTATAATAACATATATGAATCCGGCGCGTAGCGCCGGTACACCACTAGTACTGTATATATAAAAATCATGGGAAGGGGAAGGTGACGTGATTCGTGGGTGTAACTGCTCATCGGTTTATTTGTCACTAAATTTTTTATAGCAACTAAACAATTTCTGAAAAAATAATTATTTTTGGTAAAATAATGAAAAAAACACATGCCACTCCCAAAATTATCAATTGACTTCTATTTTATAGTATAAAATATATATATTCATAATACACCTTTGTATTAAACAAAACCAAAAGCACATACGAACTAAAGATGAAATCAAACAGGAACAACAAAAACGGAATATGACCTATAATGAAATTAAGCAGGATAAAAAACAATAACCAAATTCATCATTTAAGTTAAAAGTGATCAAACTTTATTTATTATCTTTGGTTCATAGAAATGACCAAGTCCTCGTTTTTCCTGAGGCTCTTATTCATAAAACAGTTAAACTGAAACAAACTTAACCAGATTCAAACAAGAACATCCATTCTTGAAGTTATAATAAACCAATCTCGAAAACATCAAGAAATGGCAAAGTAAACTTGGTAGTAAAGTCTTGAATAGATTATATCTTCAAGAGTGATTCACAAGAAACGTAAACATCCTTCGAACTTCGTTGCAGCATCTCAGATCTGGCATCTGCAAAGATCTTTCGATTTGTGTCCAAATCAAACGGCATGTATAGCTCAACTCTTTCCAAGCGCTCACATCCCGATCGTATGAAATACTTCACTATGTTTAACTCGTTTGCGCCACCACCAAAGTTTTTCACTACCAAAGTTTTTAATGTTTCTCTCAGACACTTATATGATATGTTTTGCATCCAGTATATCTTTGGATCGATGCGAGCATATGATGAAGCCGTCTGAGAAATATGAAAACATTGTTGCATGGTTTAATAATACGAAGAGATCCATATATACATATATAGTAACATATAATTCATTTTGAGGGTAATTAATTTTACATTAAGAAAACTTACAGCAATGGGGCTTGGAGGAAGCAAATCTATAGTGAGTTTTTCCAAGTTTGGGAAATTATCGAGAAGATACCTAATTCCATCGAACTCTTTTGGATGCAATTTCGTCTTCAGCACTAAATGTTTTGTTTTTTCCATCGGGCGAAGATGATGTGGACATTGTGGTTGCTCAGATCTTGTAATCACCTTGCATAAGAAAAAAAAAGCACTAGGTCAGTATTTTATTCTAAACATTCAACATATACAATAATTTAACCTTAAAATTTTAAGGTACAGCTCTATGTTCACTGAAATTACTTTAATTAACACTATGGAAGGAAATATTGTATCCTATGTAATGCAAAATATAAGCATTGTTGTTTTGTAGATTCTAAAACATATTAGGTTTTATATTTTCAAAAAAACACGTTTTAAACTATTCTAGATTCAAACTTTGGTTTTAGTTTTGTTTTCTAAAAACACTTTATTCGCCAATCAAAATTTTAACGAATATATTTTATAAAAGTATAGCAAAAAGTATTTTTTTTTTCATCATTTATGAGCAAAAACCAAAATTCAATTTATGTGAACTTTCAATTAAAAACGAGTTTTGTTTGTTTTGTAGGAATTGATACTTATAAACAAAAATAAAAAGGAAAATCTAGGAAAATATTAAAAAAAATTAAAAATTAAAAAATCAGAAAATAAAAAATATTTACTATATAACAGCAAATCATTAAATATATTTTCTAAAATATAGGAAAAGTATCAATTGACTTCTATTTTATATTATAAAAGATATATATTCATAATACACCTTTGTATTAAACAAAACCAAAACCAGATACGAAATAAAGATGAAATCAAACAGGAACAACAAAAACGAAATATGGCCTATAATGAAATTAAGCAGGATAAAAAACAACAACCAAATCCATCATTGAACGTGATCAAACTTTATTTATTATCTTTGGTTCATAGAAATGACCAAGTCCTCGTTTTTCCTGAGGCTCTTATTCATAAAACAAATAAACTGAAACAAACTTACCCAGATTCAAACAAGAACATCCATTCTTGAAGTTATAATAAACCAATCTCGAAAACATCAAGAAATGGCAAAGTAAACCCGGTAGTAAAGTCTTGAATAGATTATCTCTTCAAGAGTGATTCACAAGAAACGTGAACATCCTTCAAACTTCGTTGCAACATCTCAGATCTGGCATTTGCAAACATCTTTCGATTTGTGTCTAAATCAAACGGCATGTATAGCTCAACTCTTTCCAAACGCTCACATCCCGATCGTATGAAATACTTCACTATGTTTAACTCGTTTGCGCCACCACCAAAGTTCTTCACTACCAAAGTTTTTAATGTTTCTCTCAGACACTTATATGATATGTTTTGCATCCAGTATGTCTTTGGATCGATGCGAGCATATGACGAAGCCGTCTGGGAAATATGAAAACATTGTTGCATGGTTTAATAATACGAAGAGATCCATATATACATATATAGTAACATATAATTCATTTTGAGGGTAATTAATTTTACATTAAGAAAACTTACCGCAATGGGGCTTGGAGGAAGCAAATCTATAGTGAGTTTTNATGTCTTTGGATCGATGCGAGCATATGACGAAGCCGTCTGGGAAATATGAAAACATTGTTGCATGGTTTAATAATACGAAGAGATCCATATATACATATATAGTAACATATAATTCATTTTGAGGGTAATTAATTTTACATTAAGAAAACTTACCGCAATGGGGCTTGGAGGAAGCAAATCTATAGTGAGTTTTTCCAAGTTTGGGAAATTATCGAGAAGATACCTAATTCCATCGAACTCTTTTGGATGCAATTTTGTCTTCAGCACTAAATGTTTTGTTTTTTCCATAGGGCGAAGATGATGTGGACATTGTGGTTGCGCAGATCTTGTAATCACCTTGCATAAGAAAAAAAAGCACTAGGTCAGTATTTTATTCTAAACATTCAACATATACAATAATTTAACCTTAAAATTTTAAGGTATAGCTCTATGTTCACTGAAATTACTTTAATTAACACTATGGAAGGAAATATTGTATCCTATGTAATGCAAAATATAAGCATTGTTGTTTTGTAGATTCTATAACATATTAGGTTTTAGATTTTCAAAAAACACGTTTTAAACTATTCTAGATTCAAAATTTGGTTTTAGTTTTGTTTTCTAAAAACACTTTATTCGCCAATCAAAATTTTAACGAATATATTTTATAAAATATAGCGAAAAGTATTTAATTTTTTTTCATCATTTATGAGCAAAAACCAAAATTAAATTTATGTGAACTTTCAGTTAAAAACGAGTTTTCTTTGTTTTGTAGGAATTGATACTTATAAACAAAAATAAAAAAGGAAAATCTAGGAAAATATTAAAATAAATTAAAAAATCAGAAAATAAAAAATATTTACTATATAACAGGACATCATTAAATATATTTTCTAAAATATAGGAAAAGTATCAATTGACTTCTATTTTATACTCCCTCTGTTCCTAAAAAATCCATATTCTAGTTTTTTCACACTTTTTAATAAAACACAATAAATTTTCATAGTTTTTTGTATTTATCTTCTTTCAATAATTTTAAACCAATCAAAAATCAATTAGTGCAATTAAGTTTTTTGAAGTTTACAATTATTTAATAAAACATACATTGAAAATGTAAAAAATGGATCTTTTAGAAACAAATTTTTTTCTTAGAATATGTATCTTTAAGGAACGGAGGGAGTAGTATAAAAAATATATATTCATAATACACCTTTGTATTAAACAAAACCAAAACCAGATATGAACTACAGATGAAATCAAACAGGAACAACAAAAACGAAATATGGCCTATAATGAAATTAAGCAGGATAAAAAACAATAACCAAATCCATCATTAAAAGTGATCAAACTTTATTTATTATCTTTGGTTCATAGAAATGACCAAGGCCTCGTTTTTCCTGAGGCTCTTATTCATAAAACAAATAAACTGAAACAAACTTAACCAGATTCAAACAAGAACATCCATTCTTGAAGTTATAATAAACCAATCTCGAAAACATCAAGAAATGGCAAAGTAAACCTGGTAGTAAAGTCTTGAATAGATTATCTCTTCAAGAGTGATTCACAAGAAACGTGAACATCCTTCGAACTTCGTTGCAACATCTCAGATCTGGCATTTGCAAACATCTTTCGATTTGTGTCCAAATCAAACGGCATGTATAGCTCAACTCTTTCCAAACGCTCACATCCCGATCGTATGAAATACTTCACTATGTTTAACTCGTTTGCGCCACCACCAAAGTTCTTCAATACCAAAGTTTTTAATGTTTCTCTCAGACACTTATATGATATGTTTTGCACCCAGTATGTCTTTGGATCGATGCGAGCATATGACGAAGCCGTCTGGGAAATATGAAAACATTGTTGCATGGTTTAATAATACGAAGAGATCCATATATACATATATAGTAACATATAATTCATTTTGAGGGTAATTAATTTTACATTAAGAAAACTTACCGCAATGGGGCTTGGAGGAAGCAAATCTATAGTGAGTTTTNATGTCTTTGGATCGATGCGAGCATATGACGAAGCCGTCTGGGAAATATGAAAACATTGTTGCATGGTTTAATAATACGAAGAGATCCATATATACATATATAGTAACATATAATTCATTTTGAGGGTAATTAATTTTACATTAAGAAAACTTACCGCAATGGGGCTTGGAGGAAGCAAATCTATAGTGAGTTTTTCCAATTTTGGGAAATTATCGAGAAGATACCTAATTCCATCGAACTCTTTTGGATGCAATTTCGTCTTCAGCACTAAATGTTTTGTTTTTTTTCATCGGGCGAAGATGATGTGGACATTGTGGTTGCGCAGATCTTGTAATCACCTTGCATAAGAAAAAAAAGCACTAGGTCAGTATTTTATTCTAAACATTCAACATATACAATAATTTAACCTTAAAATTTTAGGGTATAGCTCTATGTTCACTGAAATTACTTTAATAAACACTATGGAAGGAAATACTGTATCCTATGTAATGCAAAATATAAGCATTGTTGTTTTGTAGATTCTAAAACATATTAGGTTTTAGATTTTCAAAAAACATGTTTTAAACTATTCTAGATTCAAACTTTGGTTTTAGTTTTGTTTTCTAAAAACACTTTATTCGCCAATCAAAATTTTAACGAATATATTTTATAAAATATAGGAAAAAGTATTTAATTTTTTTCATCATTTATGTGCAAAAACCAAAATTCAATTTATGTGACTTTCAATTAAAACGAGTTTTGTTTTTTTTTTTGTAGGAATTGATACTTATAAACAAAAATAAAAAAAGGAAAATCTAGGAAAATATTTGAAAAAAATTAAAAATTAAAAAATCAGAAAATAAAAAATATTTACTATATAACAAAAAAATCATTAAATATATTTTCTAAAATATAGGAAAAGTATCAATTGACTTCTATTTTATAGTATAAAAGATATATATTCATAATACACCTTTGTATTAAACAAAATCAAAACCAGATACGAACTAAAGATGAAATCAAACAGGAAGAACAAAAACGGAATATGGCCTATAATGAAGTTAAGCAGGATAAAAAAAAAAAAAACCAAATCCATCATTAAAAGTGATCAAACTTTATTTATTATCTTTGGTTCATAGAAATGACCAAGGCCTCATTTTTCCTGAGGCTCTTATTCATAAAAAAAATAAACTGAAACAAACTTAACCAGATTCAAACAAGAACATCCATTCTTGAAGTTATAATAAACCAATCTCGAAAACATCAAGAAATGGCAAAGTAAACCCGGTAGTAAAGTCTTGAATAGATTATCTCTTCAAGAGTGATTCACAAGAAACGTGAACATCCTTCGAACTTCGTTGCAACATCTCAGATCTGGCATTTGCAAACATCTTTCGATTTGTGTCCAAATCAAACGGCATGTATAGCTCAACTCTTTCCAAACGCTCACATCCCGATCGTAGGAGATACTTCACTATGTTTAACTCGTTTGTGCCACCAACAAAGTTCTTCACTACCACAGTTGTTAGTGTTTTTCTGAGACACTCATATGATATGTTTTGCATCCAGTGTGTCTGTGGATCGATGACAGCATCTGATGAAGCCGTCTGGGAAATATGAAATCATTGTTGCATGGTTTAACTAAAAATACGAAGAGATCCATATATATATATAATTCATTTTGAGTGTATATAATTTAACATTAAGAAAACTTACTGCATCGGGGCTTAGAGGAAGCAAATCTATAGTGAGTGTTTCTAAGTTTGGGCAAGTATTCAAAAGAATCCTAATTCCATTGAACTCTTTCGGATGCAGTTTCGTCTTCAGCACTAAATGTTTTGTGTTCATCGGGTGAGGACGATGTGGATCCGCAGCTCTTGGAATCATCTTACATAAGAAAAAAAAAACCACTAGGTCAGTATTTTATTCTAAACATTCATTATATACAATAATTTAAGGTTAAACTTTTAGGGTATAACTCTATGTTCACTGAAATTACTTTAACTAACACTGTGGAAGGTAATATTGTCTCCTATGTAATACAAAATATAGGCATTGCTTGTTTTATAGACTCTAAAACATATTGGGTTTTGGATTTGCAAAAACACTTTTTAAACTATTCAAGATTCAAATTTTGGTTTAAGTTTTTTTTTCCTTTCTAAAAACACTTTATTAGCCAATCAATGTTCTTAACAAATATATTTTCTAAAATGTAGGAAAGGTATTTTTAATTTTTTTTGAACAATTATGAACAAAAACCAAAAATCAACTTATGTGAGATTTTTTAATTAAAAACGAATTTTGTTTGTTTTGTTGGAATTGTTACTTTATATATAAAAAGGAAAATATATGAAAACATATAAAAAAATTATTTTCTATATAACAGAAAAATTCTCATTGAATTTTTTTTGCACAAAATATCATTACAAAAATCTCAATACTATAAAGATTGACAGACACACACACACACACACAAACACACTTAACCTAACAAATTTCAAAACTATAATATCTAATCTGTTATACAACATCTAATTAATCTTCAACATAATTTCTTTTCATTAATTCCATAATTTGTTTTCATTAGAATTAGTACTACCACATGGCAAAGAATTCAAAATTTGAAAAGAACCATGAATTAAAATGAAGCTACACTAAAAGACTAAACGTGAAAATGTAATGTAAATCTAAGAATACCTCGAGTAGAAACGGACAGACCGTTAAGGTGGTGGCAGATCGACCACCATGAAGAAAGAGATTATTAAGGAGCTCCCCAAGCATTCCTCCTGATGCATTGTTTGAATCGTTTGATACCCCAAAATCCAATTCAACTTCGCTTATGATGGTATTCATATCTACGAATTCAAAGTTGAAAATATCTCCAGAGTACTTGAATATTTCAACTCTAGGGAGGTCAAAGGTGCAAGACAGATAATCAAAGTCGCAGTTCTTGATTGCAACTTCTCTCATATCCCCTGATATTATCATACCGGAATCAATTCCCCGGCAGTCATTGATAGTTAAACTCTCAATTTGGAAAGACTGAAGATCTTTAAATTCCATCCAGCGGAGAGAGACGCTCTTGAGCTTCCTTGTGTTTGATAGTTTGGAGGGGTCAAAGTTCTTGCACGCACCAAGTTTCAACGACTCGAGAGTCGTTAGATCATAGACGCTTTGTGGGATTTCAACAACCAACTCATCATGGTTTACATTATTAATGGTTCTCCACGCCGGGTTTGAGAAATCAAGAACCAAGTTCTTGACACTTTTTTGGACCGCGAACTCTATCAGGGTTGTGATCACATCCAAGTAAGTCTTCGGATACGAGATAGAAATCCCCAACGTATCGATGGGTTGATCATTGTTTCTAGCGACCCAACCACGCACGTAATCAACAAAAGCATTCCTAGCCCTAACCCACCTTATGGGATTTGCGTAGGCAGAAGGGCTCAAGAAGTCGGATTCCTTGAAACAAACATTCCACGTCTCAAGATAGAGTGATCTCCACCGCTTGGAGAGGACACTGGTTTGAACACATTCCTTGAAAGGCAAGCATGAAATGATGAGGACCAAAAGAACATCTGGTAGATTTGATATTCTGTCTTGTTGAGCACTCGAATCCATTGTTGTAATTAAGACAAAGTGAAGAATTTTGTAAGAAAAAAAAGGTGTCTGAGGATATATAATCTAAAAGGTGTTGGAGGATATATATATATACTCTTACTACATTGCTAGCTAGGGCTTTTGAATCTGGTCATCTGAAAGATGTATCCAGAACAAAACTTCTATAAGTGGTATATTTTGAATATAGAAACTTATATGTATTACTCAAGAAGATGAGTCATCATCCAGTTTGAACGTATCTTTGACCTCCTGAGACAACAATATGCATGGCCTGAGACGATAGATTTTCAATTCTAGTTTTTCATATATCTTTTCTTATTATTAAGTTTTTTCATAAATCAATGAAAATTTATTAATTAAATATTTTTTAGCTATGAAACCTTCACCATTCACAATCTTTAGTTGGTAATGCCTCTTTGGCTCTACTCGAACACCTAGATTAATTTTGAGGGTTTATCACAATTTTTTGTTTCAAGAGTTCTGCAAGTTGGCAGTTGGCACTAATTTGTTAACGTCGACAAATTCATTCATGAAGCATTTTGACTAATAAAATGAATATTTAGATACAGTAAATGGTAAATTATATATGCCAAATTCTTTTAGTCACACACAATCTTCTTAGTGAATAAATAAGTTTTAAAATCAATGTTGAATGGAAATCATCAATTATATCATTTTGAAAATAGTTTTGATCAACTAAAATTTTAAATAATTAATTACAAAGTTTTAAAATAAATTTATTTATTTTGAAAAGTACGTAGTAAAAAAAGGAAACAGTGATTTATCAAAAATATGTAATAGTGAAATATATAACAATGTTACAAAAATATATTATATATATAAATATCTGTTTTTCATGAGCTTTGCAAATTTTCACTATTTGCTAATGTTAATAAATCTATCATCAATGGATGATGCACCTCATGAACTAAAACAAGAAAAAGAAAGTTCGAATCTTTATATTCAACGAATGATTTATAGGCTTCTTATTCTCGTCTTTGATCTTCTTCCATCTATGACATTCGTTGTTATCTATATGTTGAATTATATAACGATGATGACATATTGGCTGAGTCACAAATAACCTTCTATATATAAAGAGTCATGAGTCATTTTGAATGGAAAGTTGAATAAGACTTACTGTCATATTTGCTGGCCCCAAATAACCTTCTTAGTATATAAAGAGTAATTTAGAATTGAAAGTTGAATACAGTTAGAAATTAACGTTGGCTAAAAATCAATAGTAATGTTAACAAATCAACATGAATCATTTTAAATGAGACAAAACAAAAAATTGAATCTTTAGATTCAATGAATGGCAAAATATATAATAACTATACTAAATTTTCTGAGTCATAACAGTTTTCTTAGTAGACATAAGTAACCTAAAGGGCTAAATTGAGATAACCACTCTAAGTTAGTGAATCGTAGTGGTTGTTAGGAATGGCTGTTAGCCTTTACAACAATCACTAAAACATGCAAACTATTTTATACAGATATTCATAAAATATGTCACTGAAATTACATATAACTTTCATTTATATTAAAGAAATAATTTTATATTTTACGGTTATAATATGATTTTAATATTTTTATGGTAAGATAATTATCAAATTGTTGCACTATCTCAAAGTCACTCAGTCATACATATTCCATAAAAGTACGAATTTTTAACTAATAAACGCATTGTACAAATACTTAACAACGTCTGTAATCGTATTTATCCAAATCCACAAATTTGTGCAACCGCATATGCAAACACTGTTTTAAAACTAGTAAGGTACCAAAGTCAATATCCAAAGTTTGGTTCGAGTTACAACATACCACCTATTATATATTTTTTATTTGGAAAGTATTTTAAATAAGCATCAATTTTAGGTTGGTTGATTACAAAGTTATCATTAATAAATTGATATATTAAACAAATTTCAATTAAAAAGTTATTTAGAAAATTAAGTCAAAATAAATATAATAATATTCAAAATGAAATAACAAAAAAATTTTGATTAACAAAAATGATAACTTGTTTGAAATGCTATTATAAATTAATTATTTAATAGATTAATTTATAACATAAGTATTTTAGTTTTAATTTTTATAGAGGTAATCATATTAAAACTAATAAAAAATTAAAATATAGTATTAGAATTTTTCATAAAACCCATTTTATTATTTAATAGTTTTATTTTCAATTCTAAATATTAGAGTTTTATGGTAGTTTCTTCTAAATGATTATTTTTTTAATATGTATATACACTTCAAAATCCAACAACAACACATTGACAATTTACTTTACCTTTTAATAAACTAAAATAGTAAAGAATATTTTTATAAATGTTTGTTTTAAATATTTTAGTTATTTCATGCATGTAGTCTTATCAAACTTTTAAATATTTCATCATAAAACGTAAATTCTTGAAATAAACATAATATAATCTAAAATAAAACTGTAACTTTTTTTTGTAACTGGCTTCAAATAAATTGTAACTTGAAAAAGAAAGATACTGTAACATGCTTTAAATAAAACTATTTATTTTAAACGATATGATCAGTGATATAATTAAATTAAATATATTTCTAAATTAAATATAAAACAAACTTTTTCCTGTAATTTAAATTACATTTATAGTTTGCTATAGAAGAAACTTAGAATGTTTTTACACTCAGGGTTTGACTTGTTTTCCGTTACCACACATGCCGTCCTTGAATTGGTTATTGACATTTTATAATAACGACAAAAATGTTGTAACCTATTTTTTGCACACATTGTAACTTACTTAAAATAACTTTAAAATTTTTAAAATTAAAAATTGGTTTTTGTTAGGGTTTACGATTTTGAATGGTTGTGAGTGAATAAATAAAAATAAAAATAATTATTTTAAAAATAAAAATAATTATTTATTGTTTTTGTTGTTAATTGCATTTATTCATTAAAAACAAAAATCAACATGTAACCTACTATAGCAGGTTAACATGTCATAATCCAAGTTGAAGGTTTGTTGTGACACAAAAGTCAAATTAATGAATTAATATGCTAGTTAAATATGTTCAAGGTTTAAAGAGTTAGTGAGTACCACTTTGAAAAAATTTTATGCTATTTTCTGTACATTTAGTACACAAATGCTCTTATCTTTTGTTATTTTATTTATTAGTTTTCCTACTTTTTTGAGGAGTTTTTTTCTTGTTGACAAATACAATTCAAAAATAAGCTGTTGCTTATTTTTCAAATTACTAAAATTCAAAGATTTTGTTTTTTTATTTGCCTCGGTTTTACGATTAGAGGAGGCTTTGAACTATATCAGTAATGTGAAATTTACATAAAGAAAAAAATATACGTCAAATCTACAAATTGAGGGGGAATATGCGATTTTTCAACAACAAATTAGTGAATCTATACTATTATTTAATAAGTAATTTTGCTTAGTTGTCATGTTCTCCATAAATTTAGATAATTTTGATTATTTATCATATTTTTAATAATTATATATAATTATATATAAATGAAACGAATGTATATGAATATCATACTTTTAGAAAATAAGATAATTCTTGTGAATTATGTTGTTAACTTGAACTATATTATTATATATAAAATTAATTTTTAAATTAAGATATAAAAAATTATTATATTTATTATATAACTAAACGAATTATATTAATAATTTTATATTTTTCTAAAATAATATAATTCTTATGTATTATATTGTTATGTTGAAAATATATTTTCCTATTATAAAGCTTAAAATTAAGATATAAAAATTATATTATTAATAATTAAATATAAATCATCAAAACAATTATTTGAAAAGTGAATGTGTTGATTTGTCAACTTCTCCATGATCCTGGGTATTTTTGATCATTGATCATAATTTCTTTAACTTTTTCATTATTTATTATACAACTAAAACTAATATATATTAATAATATGATATTTAAGAAAATAATTTAATTCTTATATATTATGTTGTTATCTTGAAAATATATTTTTATTATAAAATTTAAAATTAAAATGTAAAATGTAAAATGTAAAAGATCTATATTATTTAAGAAGTGAATTAGTTGTTTGCTGGTTTGTCATATTTTCCATGATTTTAGGTAACTTTGATAGTTTATTATAATTTCTATAGTTTTATATATAGTTGATTATATATTTAATACAAATTTATATTAATAGTATCAGATTTTACAAAAATAAGATACTTCTTATGTATTGTGTTGTTGTATTGAAAATACATTTTTCTATTAGAAATTTAATTTAAGATAAAAGGTTGTAGTTATTCTATAATTAAAATAAATTTACACTAATAATATTATACTTTTAAAAAATAAGATAATTCTTATGTATTATGTTGTCATCTTGAAAATATATTTTTATATTATATAGAAAAATTCTCTATTATTAATTAAATATAAATCACCACTCAAGTAAAATTGTTTAAGAAGTGAATTTGCTCATTTGTTAAGTTCTCCATGATTTAAGTAATTTTCCTTATATGTCATCATTTCTATAATCTTATATAATTATTATATAATTAAAACGAATTTATCATAATATATTTTTGAAAATAAAGAACTTATGCATTATATTGTTATTCTGAAAATATGTTTTTTTATTATAAAATTTAAAATTAAGATATAAAATTATAATTAAATATAATTTAAGTAGAAGTATTTGTATAAATATTATAATTACATATAAATCAAGCAAAACAATTATAGAAATATATTCTTTTAAATATTTCTGATGTTTGCGTTTTGCCATTTATTTGATGTTTGATTTGTATTTTTTTAAAAGATAAGTAATAAATTAATAAAACATCAACTAATAAATATTTATAAGAGAATTATGCCCGCAAGTGCGGACAAAACACCTAGTTAATAATAATTTTAATACCAAATATTACTACATGGCATGAATGGCTGTTGATGGAATATAGCATAAGACTAATATTCATTTTAATGTTTGATATAATTTACTTTTAGCTTTTTAATTATTTTGGGAAAATTAGATATGTTAAAAACCTACAATATTTTAAGGTTTTCGGGAAATTAACTTTAATTACGTTATAATTTAATAACAATAAAAAATAAATAAAAGAAGAATTATTATTTTAATAATAAAATTCCGATTGGTTTTAGTATTCTTAAGCAAAAAAAAAGAAAAAAAGAGAGAAAACATTTTTGGTCTTAACCGAACCAAACCGACTCAAATAAGACCAAAATTAGTTTTTGGGTTGGGCCTAACATTTAACATGTACGTCGTCAACAACACACTGCTCCTCTCTCTCTCTCTCTTCTCTTTCTTGAACACGTTATCTAATTACGGATTAGAAGACAATTAAAGATAGATCAACAAGCTTGACCAAACGATCCCAACTCATATCCACCATCAAAAGTCATTGCTTCTCCAAATACCATCCAATTGAAAAAACAAAAGAAATGTAAAGAGGAAACAAATGATTACGTAACACATTGCAACCAAAACAAAGAAAAGTTCTTTGTCTTTGATCCTTTTTCCAAAACTGGACCCCACCTCTTAAGATCTCAAACTTTGTCTTTTTCTTTTCTTTCTCATTTGACAAAGAGAGAGTCGATCTTTGGAGAGGGTGCCAGTTTTTTCTTTTCTTCACCAAACTTATTTTGTTGTTTGTTTCTCTCCTTTTTTTTTTCATTTTTATTCTTTTTGGGGATTGAAAAAAACTTCCAGAAATGTGGGGAGCCCCAGCAGAACCAGCAGATTCTTATTACCAGATTCGTCCTGAGTGCACTGATGTCCCTAATACCAGATTCAAGATTAAAGTATCTTCCTTTCCTTTAATGTTTTATCTTCTATCATTTAGATTCATTTCTGCTATAAGCTATGAGACTCATAATCTTTGCTGAGTTACATATATCATAGGACATTCTTGTGTCTGATGACAAGTTTTATCTCTCTCTTCTGACGGGAATAATCATCTTTTATATTGGTTGTTAATTATGTTGATCTTCTTTTTATGATTGTTTGCCATTGTTATGTTTATGAATGTGAGAAATGTGCTCTTCAATGTTCTCATAAAGGTGATAGCATTCATTACCAGTTATGTGGTTTATTCCAATGTACATTTCTTTTTCTCTGATTATGTTTATTGCAGCCTGGTAAAACTCTAAGTGTAAGAAAATGGCAAGCTGCATTTACACAAGAAGGATTCCTCGATATGGGCAAGACTCTAAACCGAATCCAACGAGGGGTAAAAGTCTCAAAACATTTTATTGCAAAAAAAAAAAAACGAATTGTATAACTCTCATAGTTAGCTTATAATTATACCAAACCCCATTTGCTTTGGCTGGTTTCTAGGGGATCCATCCAACGATTAGAGGAGAAGTATGGGAGTTCTTACTTGGTTGTTATGATCCAAAGAGCACATTTGAAGAAAGAGAACAAATCCGACAACGTAGAAGGTGTGATTTGTCTTTGCCATTCTCTATTATTTTTACTTAAAAAAAGGCATTAATTAGTAGTTACTTGTTCGCTTTCAGATTGCAGTATGCTTCTTGGAAGCAGGAATGCAAACAAATGTTTCCAGTCATCGGAAGTGGTGGATTCATTACCGCACCTGTGATTACTGAAAAGGGCCAACCCATTCTTGATCCTCTTGTACTACAAGAAACTAACTTAGGTAAACAACAAGTTTGTTTTGTATGCATGACACAGTAGAACAGTCATGATTTTTCAAGTATATTATTATATATTATTACAGGTGAAAATTCTGATTTCTTCAAAGAGCTTGAAAGCAGAGGACCTTTGGACAAGAAAGTTATCCAATGGATGCTAACACTTCACCAGATAGGTCTTGATGTAAACCGCACGGATAGGACATTGGTATTCTACGAGAAGAAGGATAATCTCTCTAAGCTTTGGGATATTCTAGCTCTTTACGCTTGGATAGACGACGACGTTGGGTATTGCCAAGGTAATTAAAGAAAGGCCTTTAATTTAGAAGAAAACACACAGCATAATTAAGCCCTGAAAAGTTAGTTGGGTTGATACTTATGTGTTTCTTAATTGTGAGCAGGAATGAGTGATCTTTGTTCTCCTATGATAATGCTTCTTGAAGACGAAGCTGATGCTTTTTGGTGTTTTGAAAGATTGATGCGAAGATTGGTACGTTACTACCTTCACTTTTTTTTGTTCTTCATGGTATGTTTTGTCTTCTTGAGTCTTAATTGAGTCTCTATGTAAAGAGAGGAAACTTCCGGAGCACGGGAAGATCAGTTGGAGTTGAAGCACAGCTTACTCATTTAGCTTCAATCACTCAGATTATTGACCCCAAACTTCACCATCACTTAGGTAAAAAGCTTTTTCCCCCTCACTTACTTCTTAGCCAAACAATTTCACTAAATTCCCCATTTATACAACTCAAATCGGGTTAAACCATTCTGAACCGGTTAATTTAAACCGTTTTAAATCAGTTTACATTAGTCTAAATCTATTAAATTAATCAATACCACCTTTAGTCTTGTACAAAGAGCAACTAGTTGCTGCTTACTATGAAGGCTGGAAGCACTTGTTTCATTGGCTTCTAGCAAGGGCCGCCTCTGCTGCTTAGCTATTTCTTGAACAATTAATCACGTAGAGTGATCTTGAAATAAATGCAGAGAATTTGGGAGGAGGTGACTATCTCTTTGCGATCCGTATGATAATGGTACAGTTCAGAAGAGAGTTCTCCTTCTGCGACTCCTTGTATCTCTGGGAGGTAAATTAACGGTTTATTAAACTCAGAAACATCTTTCTTGGGCCGCACGCACGCTAATTAATAAAGACTTTTGTTGAGAGCAGATGATGTGGGCATTAGAGTATGACCCGGAGATGTATTCTCTGTACGAGGAGCCTGAGTTCGAGGGAGAGAAAACAGAAGGTTCCTCGAAAGGTAAACCAAAGTCGATAAAACAGTGTGGCAAGTACGAGAGAGAGAACATGAAGAACGGTGGGAATAGCGCAGAAGGTCCTTTGCCTATCTCGGTTTTCTTAGTGGCTAGTGTTTTGAAAGACAAGAGTTCTAAGCTTATGACCGAAGCTCGAGGACTTGATGATGTTGTTAAGGTAATCAAGTGTTTTTTTTTTCTTTTAACACCTCAATAATCTGTTTGTTTTTGCTCAGATCTTAAACGACATAACTGGAAACTTGGATGCTAAGAAAGCATGTTCTGGCGCAATGAAACTTCACAAGAAGTATCTAAAAAAGGTTTTAAACTTTCTACTTATATTACTACTCACAATGAAACTTGTCTTTTAAGGCTCTCTAACCGTTTTCGTTTTTTTTTGTTATTATAGCAAGCCAAGAAATAGCATTGGCGAAGATTGATGAGTAGAGCCTTTTTTTTGTATATTGTTTTTTACGTAACTCACAAAATCTGGCGACAAAAAAAGTTACTGGACAGAGATTTATGATTCCTTGGGTTGCAAGCATTCTTTCACAAAGAAAACCATTGGGAGCCCTATCTTACACAGCACACAACAACTTCTCCTTGTAAAGACTCATACAAACCCATAATGTAATATTTGATGTAACAAACCATGTGTGTGTGTTTTTTTTTCTGTATTAACAACAACACTAAAGGAATTGGTAAAAGCACAGAAAAATTATCTTCCTCCTGGACTGTAACCTCATTGTTGTATTTATAAGTCGGATTATGTAAATAAAGATGAATTGTTTTTTTTTTTTTTATCATCTTCATTATTGTCCTCAATTTCCCCTGTTTTTAACGAAAGTAAAGAAGTGAAAGCAAAAGAGAGACTGATTCCAAGTTTAGTCCTCACTCCTCATCAGATGCGAAGACTACAAGCAGATATTTTTTTTTAACTGCTACGAGACAGATCATGCAAATGAGTAAAGCAGGGTAAGCTATAACCCAATACTCTTCTACCTCTTCACACCGGTGGCTCCAAAAGGACCATCGTGACCACACGAGCTGACAACAATCTTGGCTTCCATGACGTTAGGGTCCATGCAAGACTGTGTGTCGTGGGGTTCATCGACACTAGAGATCAGTTAGTCACCACACCACCGATTCTGTTTCCTTTCATGATCAGATCCTCGGCTGCAACGGCGTTGAAGAGCTAGACGTTGGGACGAGCCAAAAGCTTGCTCATGATGGTTGATGCGAAGAGAGCAGCGTGCTTGATCACCACGTAGTAGTTGTCTTGCTCATCGTAAGGTACACCAATCTCGTCGAGGAATAAGTGAGCTGGTTTGCGTGCTATCTGTCAAATACCGAATACACAATTTTCAGACCGTTTTCGGTTAACTAACCCTGGGCATCTCATTTTCGGTTAATTCGGTTTTCGGTTCTAGAGATCTTTGGTTTGGTTAATTCGGTTTTTCATATAATCTCCGCTAATTTGGATAAACTTTATTGATAATTTGAGTTTTTGGAGAAATTTTTTGGATTTCCAAATTTTTGAATAAAATAGTGGGTAATTCAGATTATTTTAAAAAATAGATTAACAACATTTAGATAATTCGGTTTATAAATAGTATTGTTTTTTTTTTGTTAAATAACAAAACAATACTATTTATAAACAGTATATATTGTTAGGATATTTGATTATTGCAAAGCTAAATATAATTAATGGTTTTAGATATATAAACTCTATTTAAAAATTCTGGTTATCTATTTGCTTTTCGGCTCGGGTTTAGTTTTGGTTTTTCGGTTCCACATAGATAGGATCGCGCAAGCCTGCTCTTGAGCGAAAGAATATTACCATGGCGGAGAAAAGCTGACCACCGAGCCACGCACCACCTCCAGGACTAACAGACTTTCGATGATCGCGACCTGAACGTTAGGGTTCTTGCTGATCTCGTAAGCGCATGATAAACCAGCGGAGCCAGCATGCACCAACGACTACTACATCTGTCTCGGCGGCGTAAGTGATCATATCCGCCATGTACCTCCTCGTCATCTCGCAAGACACGATGGATTCCTTGATCGGAGAAAAAGTGAAGGCGTTCAGGTCGTAGCTAGCGGTGGCGCGAACGGAGACACGGTGGAGAGAGATCGTGGTTTGAGACCGACGTACGGAGACAGGTGATGCGGAGATGGATGAGCCATGGAAAGAGGAGTCGAAGAGTCTCTGAGACTTGGTGGAAGAGAGGGATCAGAGAGTAGAAGTCACGGCCACCATTTTGAGAGTGTGTGTTTTAGGTTTAAAGTGATGATTATGGTGAAGTGAAACTGTTGTGAGTTTAATTAGGAGAAGATCAAATATCTGGAGAGTCATTGCCACGTCAGAGATTAGGAATGAATGGTCGTCGAATGTTGATAAACATAACATAAGATTCGCATTTCTTTGTATTCAAGTACAGTTTATTTTTGGTAAAATAAAATATCTGGAACTTTTGTCTGGAAGTAAGGTGTAACCATTTGCGGTGAGTGTGTGGGTGGACACGGACATGAAAAAAGTGAAATATCTTTGTACGATAGTCGATAGAGATGTATTTGGACTTTACTAGGTGAAACAGACCGTTCGTTATTTATTGTGTACCAAACACGAAAATAAAATCATTTTTTATGGGGTATATATATCAATTTTTATTGTATTTATGAATTATGAGATGAAAGTCCTTTTTGGCAATAGAATCTCTTATTTTCTTCTGAACCAAAACAAAATCTGCAATGCAGTCCACAACTTCAGGTTGTTGCTTAAGGTAACTTCTTTTGAGTTGTTAGGACCATGTTTGACTGCTTTTTGTACATGGTAAAAGATGGTCCTCATATTTAGTCTCATGAGAACGAATTATGTTTAGTTTATGAGTTATATTTATCGCTCATAAGGTGTTGACACTATTTCTGTTACAAAAGATAATTGTATCGAGACTCGAGATCTGATTCTGATGAATATGTTTACAGCTACACTGAACTATTGTGGTGTAGCATTTCAAGATTTTTCCAAGTCCAAATTTTGCAAACAAAATTAAGGTTTGACTAACTTTTTCTTTTGGTTTTTTTATTTGCCAGTTACATGATCCCAACCCCAGTCACTAAGCATTTCTTGACTTGTGTTGGAAAAATCAATTCACTGGATATATACAGGAATACATTAACACTTCAAAATGAAGCATGGAATGGCAGGAAATAGAATAAATCCGTTGTCAGACTCATGATAAAATTCTGGAAAGGACGATGTCATTCTTGCAATTGCTGGTGAATGATGAGAAAGTTACTGTTTTCTTTAAGCTCGCGAAATAAAGTTACATACATTGCATCCATGTGCATGTATTGATATAGTGACTTTATATTAGCTTCATGTCGTTCCTTTTGGGGAAAAGAACGGATAAGTGTCAAACTGTCAATCATTTGGTTTCTATGACAAAACCTGCAGGGGAAACATACAATTTTAACTTACAAAAAAAAAAACATACAAGTTTATATAAAGTCATATACTTTTCTAGTGACATTTTGTTATAAGTTTTGTATCTTTTATTAATAGTTAAATTTAATGTTCCCTACGTTCTTGTTTAATCGTTGTTTCACACTGGATTTGAAAGGGGAATAATCAAATGCAATACGCAGAGGGCGAAGACAAATATCTTTGAAGTATATACATAACACCAACCACAGACAAACTTAGTGAACTATATAAGTGCCTTGACCAAATTGTGAAAACCAACCACAGACAATCTCTGCTTAGACACAACTAAGTAGGGACATAATTTCTTCTTTCTCTTCATTCCAGAAACTTGAACATGTGACCCAAAACTTCTACAGTATATTACATCTAAAGCATAAATGAACAGACAGATAAACAAGAGACACTGGGTGAAACGATCAACAACGAGAAACATGAAGTTATATGGAACCTTGTGGTAGTGGATCACTTCTGCAATATCTTTGAGGTTAAACATATAGGTCTGATATAAGTGGCTTGAAGTTTCGGAAATTAAACCAAAAGACAGAATAACGCTCATTTTGAAGAGATTTCCTCATTTTCTTCGTGCCAATTACTTGAACCAGAGACTTATTAATCTGCATTAGGATATATTTAATCCGTAATCATCTTAAACCGAGCTGAACCAAATTAGTACATCTTAGATATTTAACTTATACAGTACAACTGGTTTTTAAAAAGAATAGTAAACAAAAAGTAAACTCATACTCTAAGACTAGCGCACGTCACGGAAAAATAGAAAAGAATAGCGCACGTCGTAGTAACTTTGGTGGATTTTAATTGGTTTAGCATTTAGGGTTGAAAGAATGATGAATTTTAAAATAAGCTAAATTGGTTAAGACTTGGTTCGTTAAAATCGACAACAAAACATGAACACCAAACCAAAGGTCTCTGTTGAGTTTCAATTAAAGGCTTGACTGGTTCTCCCGTCATCACCCACCCGTAAAATCACCCGTAAAATGCAGCTTTTGCGGTTGATAGCGGTTGTTAACGTTTTGCAATAATCACATAAAACACTATAAACCGCTTCAAATCACTCTGAATCGCTAAAATTCAAAAACTCGTTCCAACTAGCGTTTTTCGGTTGTGGGCGATCGCGAAAGGATAAAAAATATTTTTTTTTCAAAAGCTATATAAATATAAAAATAAATTATTCATTTAAAATTTTAAATTAAAATAATTGAAATACCAAAATATTTATATTATAAAATTTTCAAAAATATTATCTTTAATTTTTTAAAATTGTAATAGTACAGTTTTATAAAATATGATTTTAATATTTTAATAATTATATAAAATATAATATTGTTAATTTATCGCTTAACCGCTTTTGTATTTGATAATAAACAAGTCATAAATATCCCGTAAACACAACAATTTTTAACTATTAAACTAATCATCTAAATTTCTTATTAATTAACCACAATTTCCCGTATTCTCAAACTCCCGCAACCGCAACCACAATCACTGTGTTTTAATAGTCAGACCTTAATATTTGGAAGGTTTCTTTGGTCTTACATTACCAACAGATAAATGGTCTGTTTGGTTTAGTTATTGGTATAACCCAAAAATACAAACACTTCGCAAAAATTATTTTTTGGGGGTCAAATTCACAATTATTAATTTTAAAAAAAATAAATAAAGGAAAGAGACGTGCAAGGTGAGTCTCTCTGTCTCTGTAGTAATACAAAGACGATACGTAAAAGAGATGTTAATCGTTTTGATGTTGGCTTTTTTTTTTCAGTTTAAAAAAAAATTAAAATGATAGTATTCAATCATATATTTAATAGAGTTTAAATCTAAAAAAAATCTCGATTAATAATTTTAAATTCTATTTTAAATTCTATTTTAAAATCTAGTATAAATATGATATTTGTAACTTTTATTTAATGAATAATCTATATCTTGTTTTTAAAATCTAGTATTGTTTAATTTTAATTTTGTTTATTTAATATTTTGATTATAGATTCTCATGATAAATAACTAAAATCAAAATCCAAGATATACTACAGATATTTTAAAATCCACTAACCAAAACTATACTAAAATTTTAAATTTCAAGTAATTACAAAACATCAAAAATTGACTTTAAATCTTGATTCAATAATATCCCCCCTTTAAAGAAAAAAACATTATAAATGAAGTTAGAAAGAGGTTTGGTCTCTTATCCTAAAATATTTCCCCTTTCTTGCTCCTAAACGTTTCCAAAGTCTTAATCTGATTCCTCCTTCCGGACACGCTAAATCCCCTCTTCTCTCTGGCTTTCTTCATTTCCTTTCTCAAATTTCCAGCAACAAACAAAAAAACACAAACCATTTACTTCATTTCTTCGTTTTTTTTTCGATTTTGAGGTATATCATCTTCTTCCTTATCAATTCAGCTTAGCTATTTTCACTTCGATCGCTGATTCTTTCTTCTGTGTTTTCCAAAATATCCAACTTTTTTCCTTCCCTTTTTGTCTCTTTGATCAAAGTTTTGATTGTATCTTCAGTGGTTTCTAATCAAAAAAAAAAAAAAAACTTCTCAAAGAATTCATTCGATTTTTAAAATTGGACGCAATCTTGAAATATCGACACTATTTGATTAAAGAAGTCTAACGATCAACATTATGAAGAAAAACGGTGACGTTTCTCTGAAGCAGCCGACAACTTCAGACGGTGTTGTGTCTCGATCAGCTCGAAGCTCCTTCCGTGCTCTCTCCAACTGCCTTCGTGTAATCTCCTCCGGTGCTTCCACCGTCGCTCGCTCCGCCGCATCCGCCGCTTCCTCCGCCGTTAACCGTGACGTCGAATCTCTTAACGATCAGGTAAAAAAAGAGTTTTCAAATTTTTAGTCAAAGTTAAGACCTTTATGTAATGGGTTTGCTTCATTTGTTTGTTAGCTTTAAAAAGATTGGACCTTTACGTTGTGGGCTGTTTTTTTTTTTATTGAAAAGTTTGGATTCTTTTTTTTTTTTTGATGCTAAAAAAAAGGTACTATGGGCGGGGTTTGATAAGCTAGAGAAAGAGGATGGAGATAGTAGGAGAGTTCTCTTACTTGCGTTTCACTCTGGTTTTCAAATTTGGGATGTTGAGGAAACAGATAATGTTCATGTTATTGTCTGTTCCCACGATGGACAAGCTTCCTTTATGCAAATGCTACCAAACCCTATTATTACCTCTGAGGAGTTTGACGATAGTTTTTCAGACAGCCGTCCGCTTTTAGCTGTCTGTGGTGACAGTTCTTGGGATGAACAGAGCGGTTCCGACAATGGTGGAAGTGAAACTGTGGTGGTTCCTACAAATGTGCATGTCTACTCGTTAAGGTCTCAGTCTTATGTGCATACGTTGAGGTTCCGGTCGGTTATCTATACGGTTCGGTGTAGTTCTCGCATTGTTGCTGTCCTACAAGCAGCTCAGATTCATTGCTTTGACGCTAAAACATTGGTGAAGGAATACACGATTGTTACTAACTCCATCGCGTATGGCTCGTTGGGTGTTGGATACGGTCCTCTTGCCGTTGGTCCACGATGGATTGCTTATAGTGGAAGGCGTGTTGCTGACTCGAGCTCCACGCCTTTCAATCCGGAGATTATCACACTGTCATCTTCACCGGGTGTTGCAGAGTTTGCAAGAGAATCTGGCAGGCAGATCGCTTCAAGGATTGGAACTCTTGGTGACAAAGGGGTCAAGTCGTTCTCTAGGTACTGCTCAGAGGTTTTGCCTAATCCGTATATTCCTGGTTTGAAAGGCATTGGAGTTGGTAATGACAATGTGGTGGATGCAGATAACGTAGGAATGGTATATATATATATATACTCCAAATCGTCCTCTAGTTAGTTTTGAATTGATCTGTGGTTTTATACATATGTATATGGTGTGGTGTGTGTGTGTGCAGGTTATAATCAAAGATATTATAAGCAAAAGCGTTATAACGCAGTTTAAGGCACATAAGAGTCCTATTTCAGCTTTGAGCTTTGATCCTAGCGGCATGCTTTTGGTGACTGCTTCGATTCAGGGACACAATATTAACGTCTTCAGGATAATGCCGAGAACCTCTACAAGTACAAGTAGTGATGCGTCTTTTGTGCATCTGTTCAGGCTCCAGCGTGGGTTTACTAATGCGGTAAGACATCTGTGTATGATTCACTAGGCTAGCGGGTTCGGTTAGCTTGGGATATTTGGTTCGGTTAGTTTGGTTTACAGTTAGTTTGGTTCAACATAAATCTTACTGAATTCACCCGCTGTAAAGTTCGGTTCGATATTCGGTTAGTTAGGTTTCTGAAAATCCTAGTTTTTTATTTCGGTTAGATTTTGGTTTAATTTTGTTATAATTTGGATAAATTCGGTTAGTTTCGATTATTTTTGGTTCGGTTTGGTTCATAGTTTATTTAGTTCGGTTACTTCAGTTTGGGGTTTTGGTACCGAATGATACCAAAATTCTAACCTAAACTTTGGTTCGGTTTGGTTCAAAATCCCATGCCTAAGATTAGCCTTTACTTTCACCTATTGATTAAGATTAGTCTGAAGGAGATATCTATTTCAGGTGATACAAGACATCAGTTTCAGCAGTGATAGCAGTTTGATAGCCATTAGCTCTTCAAGAGGGACAAGTCATCTGTTTGAGATCAATCCAGAGGAAGAGTGGAGTGCCCCGGTTCCTCTCTCAGCTGTTAATAGAATAAGAAGTGGAAACATCAGCGGATGGATGGGAACAATGAGCGGTGCTGCTGCAGCTGCAGCTGCTGGAATGGTTGGAGGCTCTCTTCCTGGTGCAACCGCATCAACTTTCTGTTATTCCGTTGAGCAGAATAAGAACAACCGCTATGGTTCTTCTGATAATAGCTTAAAGAGGAATATTCTAGTGTTTGCTCCTTCTGGATGTATGACACAGTATGCATTAAAGGCAAATCCGGGTGGGGATGGTGGTCATCATGAGATGGCAGGGTTTGATTTTGAGTCTGGTTCAGAGACTGAAGGGAAAGTAGGTGTTGAGCCTATAAGAAGGTGGTCAATGATCCAAAACCAGTCTAGAAGAGAGATGCAAGATCAGCACAGTGATGTATATGGAGGTGGAACAAGTTCGGATTCCAAAAATAAAGTGTTTCCGGAGATTGTTAGGAAGCAGAGTGCTGAGGAGTCTTGGAAAGTTACTAAGAAAGGAAAGGAGGCACGTGTGGAGGATAAGCATCAGATGTACATGTCTGAAGCAGAACTGCAAATGTATCAGCCGACTAAGCTACCATTATGGGGAAGGAGAAATGTAAAAACTTCTTTACTTTTATTTCTTAAGCGAGAGAGTAATGTTGTGTGGATGGATGTCTCTAAGTACTTTTTATTTGGCTCAAAACAGTGTAGGTTTCAAGAGTTGGTGTTGGATGTGGATGAAGAGAGTAATAATGGTGGAGGAGGGGAGATGGAGATTGAAGGAATCCAAACTCGAACGGTTGAAGCAAGAACAAGAGGTTTGGTTCCAGTGTGGGGTTATCTTCAGTCTCCAAAACCCCAACAAGTGATGAGAGAGTGAGTTTCTGGAATCTGCTTGGTGTGTCTACTTTTTTTTTTGTCACAGTTTCTTGACACTAATATTATGCTACAGATCATTCCAGAGTCCAAGGAACACTACACGCGGTGATCAAGTTGTCGCTCCTCTAGAGGGTCATGGAACAGAGACAATTTAACTGGTGGCACAATAAATAAATAAATATGTATATTAAAATATTTAATATAATTTAGGGGATTAGATCATAGAATAATCTGTGTTTTTTTTAAGTTACATCAATCACTAAAATTTTACATCTTATTTTTAAATGAATGAAAGAAATTTTTTTTCATAAATTTAGTTATTTATTTTAGGTAATCTTATAACTTATATATTGCATACAATTATTTTATTATAAGAACATTTATTCCTTTTATTTTTATTTTAATCTAAGTGTAAAAGTTCAAAATAACAGAAATAATTGTTAGAGTGAAATTAAGATAGTTTATAGTTTTTATTTTGCAAAATTTAACACTAAAAGAAAAGAAAAAAAAATTATAAGAAAGGAAGAATTGTTTTATGTAGGAAAAAAAGTAAAACCTATTTTATGAGATTGTAACCAAAGGTGTGTAGAAAAACTGAAACCATAATATTTTTAGGTAGGGGAAAGGAACATTTTTTATAAAGAGTAATTAAAACTTTAAAAGTGTGTAACCTAAGAATATATAACACCAAAAAAAAAAAAATATATATATATATATAACACACTTGAGTGAGTCGAACACAGATTTGGGTGGGGCACGATGTATCCTTCTAACCCAAAAGAGCTGCACATTTAAATCTGTGTAGGCAATTCACAAAACTTTTTTATATTGTGAGTATGTGGCACGTGCCACACCCCTCTCATAGGTGGTTCCACGACCGAATTTGGAGTTGTACATGGCAAGAGAACTTGAGATCAGAAGAAGAGACCTAAAGTACGCCTGGAAATAACGAAGTAGGTATGGAGAGGAGGATGAAGATGACTTGGACAAGGAGGTGATGTTGTTATTGGTTTATTCTTTTCACCACAAACCCAGCTTCAAGTTCTTCAATAAAAGAACAAACATAACTGAAAAATTGTATAGAAAAAGGGAAAGAAAATGTTGACATATTTTTTAGATGTTAATAGGAACTAGATTCGAACCCGCGCTAAAGCGCGGAATAATTTTTATTCTAAATTTTTGATTCAGATTTATTTAATGTTGAAAATGCTAATAATATTCACAAAAAATAGAATGATCATTTGTTAAGTAAAACTAAATATGTTAGAGATGAATTAGTAAATGATGTTAATAAAAAATTTCCATAAATAAATAACAAAAAATGTTTTTGTCTTGTTTTTTCCACAGTTCCATTTTCTCACACCAACACTTTTTCAAAAAATACCATTTTCTCACATGCTTAAGTTTTTCTCCGTCAATTTAATTTTTGTTGGGGAGAAAGAAAGCTCAGAATTATGAGAGCACACCTTATATTGGAGAGCCTGAACATAACAACGAACATATAAAATTCAAAGATTTAACTAGGATTATATTTTGTGTAAAAATATTGGAGAACAGTTTGTAGCTTCCATATATGATCTGTAAAAAATCTGAAAAGAAGAAAGTTTGAAAGTTAAAAATAGGCGTAAGAACAATGGTGATTTTACCTTGTATAGAGAATGTTATTATGGCGAGTCTGTAAATAGTGGGATAAATAAAATTAGGCGTAAAAGCAATGGTATGTCTACTTTGTATAGAATGTTATGATGGTGAGTCTGGAAATACTGGGACAAATAATTTTTTTAATTGATTAAGGTTTCTTGCAGGTTCAGTTCATTAACAGAAAAGAAGGAAGTAAGCAAACCATTGATGTCTAATTATATTTAGTAGTCAAGTCATAATAACAGAACAGAAGATAAACTGATTTATAAGCAGAGTTTTAAAACTTTGTAATATTCCAAACCTATTAATCTATTATTATTGTATTGTATTTGATAACCTAAGGTATGTCAGCTCTGTTTATATATATGGCTGAATATTTAACGAACAGTTTTGTGTTCGATCGGTTTAAAATAATAACATCGGTTATCATTTTGGTTTATTCTAATACGTAGGTCCAAAACTTTATATGTAAAAGTAGCGTGTCATTTTTAAGTGATGACTTATTGAAAAGGTCCAATTAAAAGATATGTCATGGTAATTTCGAATAAGATTCTAAATTAATAGATTAGACTAGATTTTGACCCGCGCTTTATAAGCGCGGGATTTGTGTTGTTGAAAAATTTATTAATCCATTTTTGGCCGATTGTAATTTGTTTTCATTTTTTTTTATTTCTGTTCGCTGTGATTTTTTTTTGTTATATAAGAGATATGTGGACCGTTCGACGTTTATAGATTTCTATTCGGTTTTGGGTTAATTAATTTTTTTTTTGATTTGATCGGGAAATGATTTAATAATGAAAATCAGTACTACTAAGAAATCTTAGGATATATAATAAATTCACAGAGACTATCATTTTAAAAGTGACATTTAGAATATGAGTTAATAACCATTTTATAATTCTTTATTTGAAATAACCATTTTTAATAAGAACAAAAATTATCAATGTTTATGTTAACAAAATATAAAACAATGAAAACTGGGCTTTAAAATTACATAATGGTTACCGGTAATTTTGGCTTCCAAATCAACGATCAAATTTTGTTTTTTATAAACCAGGCCCAAATCAAGTTTAAGTATCAACCGAAAAAGAGAAAGCTGTCTTTTTACCTTTCCATAATAATCTTCCTAAAAATAAATCTTCGCTTCTCTCTCAAAATAGTAAACAAACGGATGCAAAATGATCCATCATCACCGACCTATGAAGGTACAGCAAGGTTCCATTCTTTGTTGATCAATAGATCATACACTCATAAAAACCAGTATTTACGAACTAAAGTTGATATTTTTTTACTTTTCCGATACGGTTGCATGTGTTCTCCAATGATAGATCTGTTTAATCAGATGAGAATCTGTTGTTTTAAATCGTATTCTTTTAAAGAAAGTCCTATCAATTTCATTCCAGTGTTTTCTAATTCGTGATTTTCATGCTTAGCTTGAATTTATTTAATACCAATTAATTTAATGCCTAAAATATTACAGGATTCATGAATGAATATAACTCAAGAATCACTTAACTGGCGCTGTATATTATTATCTCACTTCAGGACCAAGATAATTATGATTCACTGGATAGTGGGATCGTCCAGAAGAAAACATTAACTATGGTTATGTTTAATTCCTTTAATGATTATTGACTTTATATGTATGTTACTTGGTTCCTTTATAATGTCTATAACTCAATGCTTACGCCTAAGTGATATATCTGAAAAGATAAGTACTTCTTACCTGATGATTACAGTGGTTAGTGTTCCATGAATTTAAATAAAGGATTTTTTGGATCTTCTCAGGAAGAAAACGATGGTGAAGACTAAATGTATTTTGATGTTCAACGAACCTGCAATCTTTAAAGATAGTAATTCATTAGCTTGATTCCATAAACTGAGACTGTATAGAATAGTATACCTATATATGATGTGTTCTTTTGATATTACAGCAACTTAGACAATAAAGTCTCTAATACAAACAAATATCTTCAAAGGTTCATCTGGCAGCAACTGAAGCAAAACAAAAATGTAAGTAAAAAATTAATTTTTTCGTGTATTCTTTGAATATCAAAGCTCCTCAACCTCTTTCCTGTTCAGTCAGTTGCTTAGAATTATTATTGGCTATTTGTATTTGGAAACAAAATCAATGTACATCAAGATGGTTTGCTCATAGATTACAATTTTACGAACATATATATGATACGTTAAAGAATTAAAAACCAATCGTTTTAAAGATTCAATATGGTTGAGTAGACGATATATTGATTTGTTTACCTTCTTGTCTGCGAAAATGATTTCAAGAGTTTCTTTAAATTTTTCCTTGGCTGGTTTCCAGTTGTGGATTACTTTCACTTGAATGTACCAGTTGGTTTTGTGAATTTGTACTTCAAAAAGCTAGGTACGCTATTTTCTGGATTTCTTTCATTTTCTCAGAGCAAACTGAAAATTTTGGTTGTAGGGATGATTGTTTGACTACGATAATATATATAGCTAAGAATATGTAGCATTAGTAAGTATATTTGAATATTTTACTTATTTCTTTTCAGCCAGATAATAATATCGTATATCGCGTGAGAATATATTTGTTAGGAGGGAGTATATTTTGGAAGCAACAGAATAAGGTATTTGTTAATAAGGTGGATTAAGAACCGTTCAATAATTTGTGATATTGAAAAGTACGATAGATGATCCTCTGTTTTAGCTAGCAATATACATTGCACCCGCTATTTAAATGCTTCAGTTATTATGATGCCTTGATTTGTGTTTAGTTATGAGAGGATATTCCAATTTTATCCTATATAATAGGATTTTGTTTTTAGATATTTGGTAAAATTTTGGAGTCAATAGAGGAATCGTAAAATTTGGTGACATACTTATTTATATAACAAATTATTTGTTGGACTAATTTAGGCATTTAATGTATATATATATTTATAAAAAAATTCAACATTATTGGCATCCAAAATATTATTAATATGTAGGTTAATAGATTGGAATAGGAATAAGAAAGACTATTTAGAATTTAGGGATTTGTTTCAATTCTTAATGGGGTTTGGTAAATAGGACTTTGAGGTTTTAAAATAGATAGTAATTTAATAGTGATGATTTAACAGTTGGTCGAGTAATGAACTCTTAAATAAATGAAAAGATAAATGTTTTTCAGTCATAGTTCAACTGTTTTATTTACTATATTAGATTGTATTGATTTTTTTTGTTTCTCTACATAAGAACATATCTTATTAATTTACTATACCCAGGTCAAATGTAGGTTCCATATAGCTTGTGACTTTTTTGTATAGTAAGTGTTGATACTTGACTTCTATGTTTCGTTATGCGCTGCCATTAACGAAAACAAAACCAAATGATATATTTGCATATTCTTTTCTTATGTGTGCACTGGCATTACGATTAGGAAAGTCCTTTGATCGGTGTCTAATCTAATCATGGATGAAGTAAATTATATATTTAGTTATCGTATTAATCGGTTAGTATATAATTATGGGATTATAAATATAAATGATCGGCGAGTTATTAGGTAGTTTAGGTGGTCTTTTTTTTCATTTCCTATTTTAACCTTAATGAATTTTCATTTTGTAGGTAAATTTGATGGCACAAAAAGTAATATGCCAAGGAAACCAAAGGGTAAATTCATAAAATGGATCCTGTTTTAATAGTATTGATATATTATTTTTTTTGTTACGGATGCCCTTTGATCGATGAACATCTTAGCATGTAAATTAGAAAGATTTAACACTGTTTAAGAAGTTTGAACCTCAAAGAAAAGTTTCACCACTTGAAAACGAGTTCAAAACATAAAAAACGTTTTTTGAATGATTAAAATATTTTGAGTTGTTACAAAAACGGATTGGATTCTGGTGGGTAAGATTACCAATAGAATTAGACAACATAATTGTTTTTACAAAAGAGTTAGAAAAACAAAAAAAAATATTTTTTATAAGAAACTTAAATAGGTCGACCGCAATCGCTCTCAGTGGTCACTAACAGTGGAAATGGACCCCGAACTCCGGTAGCAATATTGTTGTGTTACTTTTTGGTCAGAAATGCAACTGTTGACCCGCTCGTCTCGGGCTAAGATGGGCTTTGGAATAATACAATAGATTTTTTTTATCAACATTTTCATTACTAAATTTTAAATACCCGTTTTAAGATAACCGCACGAAAAAAAACTAATTGGAAAATGCTCTTTGGAAAGGATTCATTGCTTCGAGCAAACAATATTTGTCATTGTCATTTGAATGAATATTGCAACTACACACATGGAGAGTTCTTGAGTCTTATAAAATTAACAATGAAAAAACCCTACTCAGTTAACTTATGTATCTTATTATTATTGTACTCTTCATTGCATTATTGTCCTTGTTATTTTTCAGTTTTAATTTCTTTTGTCAGCTCATTATTGTACTCTTCATAGATTTATCGTTACAGAACCAAGTTTTTTCTACATGTCTCATGCTTCTATAGTTTCTTAGTGATAAAATTTAAGAGATATGAGCAGCATAAAATATTTAGGAATATCCACTTTACTAGAACAAGTTCACTAATACAATCTTCGACTAGAAGTATGGTACTTGAATAGTATGTTAGCTACAACTATTGTCTGCGCTTAATAAATCTAACAGATGAAAAACAAAATCCTAAATCACTTTTAAAAGATCACAGTTAATGCTCCGAGAAGTACAATAATGCTTGATGGTGCGAGAGTTCATAAAAACAAATTGTGCAAACAAAAATTGTTCTTTGATACCAAATATAAGTTTTAAAGGTTGTATAAGATCACACAATAAAGAAAATCTTTCAAATCTTAAGCATTCAAAACACAATCTCTAAAACTCATAAATTCATGATATAACTCAGCATCTTCTTATATAGAGACTAAAGTTTCCTAAACTCATTAGGACTAACTATCCTTAACATATGTCGATTAGGATTACACACATAGGTCAAAATTTTACAAACCAACATCACTTTCTAATGCTGAAACAATTTGATCTGGCTCAATAACCTCACGACTCTTTATACTTTCTAAATAAACCAGTAATTGTTATCTTTCCACTATTCGCAATACAGCTCTAGTCCCATCTAGAAAAATCTAGAGTGCATGTGGATTAGTGTTGAGTACATGTCGTTTGCTATATAAGAAACATTGTGTAATAAGAAATATTTTTTGTTTTCAATTCCAACAAAAGCATTTTGACATGAAGATATTATGTCGATGACTACATGTGTCACGACCTAGAAAAATGGAACATATATCCCTGCCTACAATATTCTCTTCTCAAGGACAGATGTTTCCGATTCCATGCAATCTAGATGAATATTGTATGTTAAATAAATAATTATTGTAAAAACAGAACGGGATGATAGAGCAAATATATAGACATTTAGATGATATTTAATCAAGAACATTTCGAGAATTAGTTTTCTTCGGTGATGTATGTACAGCCTTGCTACAAATCTTAAAGGAGACAATAATGGGACAACTTAAATTTTATTTCACTTACATCCAATCCGTTTTTTTTGTTATTAATTTTCTTTTTATCAACATAAAATTTAGTCCCGAAGTTTCATGTTGACATTTGATTTTTGTTTGGAACCAATTTGTTTTATTCTGTCGTAGAAATGAAAATTAAATAACTGAGTTAGATAACATAATTGGGCTTAGATAACATCATGGAGTAAGTAAAATCGAATCTATACTATTCGGTTTGGTCGCAAAACGTGCGTGTAAACAGATGACGTGGAGGCCTCTCAGTGCTCCTGAAATAGTGATGATGTTGCTTCATAAGGTGAAGAGAGCTTCTCCTTCATATATAGACTAGGTGATTTTCCTTGCTCATGTACGGGTATAAATATTTTTAAAGTAAATATATGATAATAATTTATTGCTATTTAATTTTAATTTTAAATTAATTTATAACTTCTATGCATCATTTATATTAATAATATTATATTACTTTAACTATACTATAATTTTATATATGCTATATCTAGTTGATTTTGTTGTTTTTACAGTTGATTTAATTATCATTTAGATAAATTGGATTGCATCTCTGGATTTAACTGTAATATTTTTAAAAATATATTAATTTTTAATTAATTACTTGTTTTCATATAGTGGTTTTTGTCTTAGATATGTAAATATAATTTAGAAAAATTAACTAAAGTGTATGATTCCAAAATACATAAATTAATATAACAATAATATTCAAAAGTCTTATGCATATATATAAATTTTACAAAAGAACTAAAATTGTAAGAGTTGGTTATTATTTATTTTCATTTGTTAATATGTTTTGAGTTATCCTATGATCAATAGAAGATTACATGCATAAATAGTTGATACATTTTTGGAAGCTCATGAACATATATCAATATTTATAATAATTAAAATATTTATAAATTCTAAATAATTTTATGCTTTAGATTTATTGAATGAAAACTGAAATAAATTTTAAATGATCTTAAAATTGGGAATTCATATTTGCTTTGGTATTTTGATTATGATTATATTTAGTTTCACAAACATAAAATTTAAAAGAAAATTTATTATTAAGAAAACAAATAATTTTAATAATGATAAATATCATATATCTAGCTCATTAAACTAATTGTTAATTATTTGATCAAGCGATGTTTATTGTTAAATTTATTTTTAGTTTTTAATATCTCTTAAAAATAAGCATTACACAAAATTGTGATTGTATTTGAAAATAATATTATATAAGTAAAATATAATTTATAGATAGTTTTCTATAATTGAAAGATATTATAACCAACTAAATATATGAAAAATAAATAAAAAATTCAATAATACTAATTAGAAACTATTTTTATTACTCTAAAAGTATATTTTATGTTATTTAAAAATATTTTTAAATGTATTATTACTATTTGGTGAACTTTTCTTTTTTCTTAATAAATCATACTATATACATATATTTTTGGTTTTCAATTTGTTATATGACTTCATAAAAAAATTTCCTTTTTATTACATATTCTTTTGGAAAATTTTCAAAAGGAAACTAAATAAAAGAATTAATAATATTATTTTTAATTATTTTTAATTCATTAAGGATATTAGTGTAATCAACCATCATGAAAATGAACGTGAGAGCGACACATAGGAAACTGACTTCTCAAATAATATTATATATATATATATATATATATATATATATATATATATATATTAAGAAGGTTATCTGGGGCTGATCAGCAAATATGACAATAAATCAAATTCAAAACTTTCCATTCCTAATTGCTCTTTATATATTAAGAAGGTTATCTGTGACTCAACCAATATGACATCATCATTATAATTCATATATTGATAACAACAAGCTAAGAGGCACAGATCGAATCAAAGACGAGGATAAGCTAAGAAGCTAATAAATCATTCGTTGAATCTAAAGATTCCTAAAGATTCGAACTCTTTTTTTCTTGATTTAGTTCATGAGGTGTTTCATCATATCCATTGATGATAGATTTATTAACATTAGCAAATAGTGCAGATTTGCAAAGCTCATAAAAGAAAAATAAAATCTGCAAACACCTTTTAGATTATATATCCTCAGAAACGTTTTAGATTACATATCCTCAGACACCTTTTTTTTCTTACAAAATTCTTCACTTTGTCTTAATTACAACAATGGATTCGAGTGCTCAACAAGACAGAATATCAAATCTACCAGATGTTCTTTTGGTCCTCATCATTTCATGCTTGCCTTTCAAGGAATGTGTTCAAACCAGTGTCCTCTCCAAGCGGTGGAGATCACTCTATCTTGAGACGTGGAATGTTTCTTTCAAGGAATCCGACTTCTTGAGCCCTTCTGTCTACGCAGATCCCCTAAGGTGTTATATGGCGAGGAGTGGTTTTGTTGATTATGTGCGTAGCTGGGTCGCTAGAATCCATGATCAGCCCATCCATACGTTCGGGATCTCCATCTCGGATCCAACGACTTACTTGGATGTGATCGAGGACCTGATAGCGTTCGCGGTCCAAAAAGGTGTCAAGAACTTGGTTCTTGATTTCTCAAACCCGGCGTGGAGAACCATTAATAATGTAAACCATGATGAGTTGGTTGTTGAAATCCCACAAAGCGTCTATGATCTAACGACTCTCGAGTCGCTGAAAGTTTGCGCGTGCAAGAACTTTGACCCATCAAGGCTATCAAACCCAGGGAAGCTCAAGAGCGTCTATTTCGGCTGGATGGAACTTAGAAGGCTTGAGAGTTTAACTATCAAAGAGTGCGATATTGATTTCGAGATGATATTGGTAGCAGGGGATATGAGAGAAGTTGCAATCAAGAACTGCGACATTTATCGTATGGCTTGCACCTTTGACCTCCCAAGAGTTGACATATTCAAATACTCTGGAGATATTTTCTGCTTTCATTTCGATAATATGAATACCATCATAAGCGAAGTTGAATTGGATTTTGGGGTATTGGACAATGAAAATGATGAATCAAACGACTCATACAATGCAGAAGGAGTAATGCTTGGGGAGCTCCTTAATAATCTCTTTGATTATGGTGGTCGATCTGCTACGACCTTAACGGTCTGTCCGTTTCTACTCAAGGTATGTCTTAGATTTTTAGATTACATTTTCACGATAGATCATTCAGTGTAGGTTCATTTTAAAGCATGGTTCTTTGCAAATTATGAATTCTTTGCCATGTGGTAAAATAAATTATGTTGAAGATTTAGATGTTGTATAAACAAATTAGATATGTTATTGCTTTTGGAATTTATTAGGTTAATTGAAATTTGTGCGTGTGTGTGTGTGCGAGAAAGTATTCAATGAGAATTTTGCTGTTATATAGAAAATATTCTTTATTTTCGGGTTTTTTTTTATTTTCATACATTTTCCTTTTTATTTTTGTTTATAAAGTATTAATTCCTACAAAACAAACAAAACTCGTTTTTAATTAAAACTTCACATAAGTTGAATTTTGGTTTTTGTTCATAAATGACCCAAAAAAATTTTAAATACTTTTCCTATATTTTAGAAAATACATTTAATGATTTGCTGTTATATAGTAAATATTTTTTATTTTCTGATTTTTATTTTTTTTTAAATATTTTCCTAGATTTTCCTTTTTTATTTTTGTTTATAAGTATCAATTCCTACAAAACAAACAAAACTCTTTTTAATTGAAAGTTCACATAAATTGAATTTTGGTTTTCGCTCATAAATGATGAAAAAAAATTAAATACCTTTTCCTATATTTTATAAAATATATTCGTTAAAATTTTGATTGGCGAATAAAGTGTTTTTAGAAAACAAAACTAAAACCAAAGTTTGAATCTAGAATAGTTTAAAACGTGTTTTTTGAAAATCTAAAACCTAATATGTTTTAGAATCTACAAAACAACAATGCTTATATTTTGCATTACATAGGATACAATATTTCCTTCCATAGTGTTAGTTAAAGTAATTTCAGTGAACATAGAGCTATACCCTAAAAATTTAACGTTAAATTATTGTAAAATACTGACCTAGTGTTTTTTTTTCTTATGCAAGGTGATTACAAGATCTGCACAATGTCAACATCATCTTCGCCCGATGGAAAAAACAAAACATTTAGTGCTGAAGACGAAACTGCATCCAAAAGAGTTCGATGGAATTAGGTATCTTCTCGATAATTTCCCAAACTTGGAAAAACTCACTATAGATTTGCTTCCTCCAAGCCCCATTGCGGTAAGTTTTCTTAATGTAAAATTAATTACCCTCAAAATGAATTATATGTTATTATATATGTATATGGATCTCATCGTATTTTTAAACCATGCAACAATATAATGTTTTCATATTTCCCAGACGGCTTCATCATATGCTCGCATCGATCCAAAGACATACTGGATGCAAAACATATCATATAAGTGTCTGAGAGAAACATTAAAAACTTTAGTAGTGAAGAACTTTGGTGGTGGCGCAAACGAGTTAAACATAATGAAGTATTTCATACGATCGGGATGTGAGTGTTTGGAAAGAGTTGAGCTATACATGCCGTTTGATTTGGACACAAATCGAAAGATGTTTGCAAATGCCAGATCTGAGATGTTGCAACGAAGTTCGAAGGATGTTCACGTTTCTTGTGAACAATTCTTGAAGAGATAATCTATTCAAGACTTTACTACCGGGTTTACTTTGCCATTTGTTGATGTTTTCGAGTTCGGTTGACTTTAACTTCAAGAATGGATATTCTTATTTGAACCCGGTTCAGTTTGTTTCAGTTTATTTGTTTTATGAATAAGAGAGCCTCAGGAAAAAACGAGGACTTGGTCATATATCATATCTATGAACCAAAGATAATAATAAACTTTGATCACTTTTAAATTATAGATTTGGTTAGTGTGTGTTTTCCTGCTTTATTTCACAAAATCACTTTCTCCGGTCTCTGTTAGTTAATGGCGTTTGTTTGTTTTTGATGGAATCAGTGAGTTATTAGAAGAGCACTGAGTTATTTGTTGATCCGTAAGCTTCCCTTCCAGCGTCATACGTCTATCGCTATCAGAGATTCCATCCTGGACCTCGAAGCGGGACTTTTCAGTGGTCTGATCCTCAACGGCTCCGATTGCTTCCTTCAGGTTCTCACGATTCCTGTTAACTCGGATAACTATCTAGTTAGATCCATGCTTAAGTTGGTTTCTGAAGTTACTTACGAGACTAGTTATATTCTGTAGGGGTAATGTTACTATTTGAGATGTTTCCCAGAACAACATAAGGTTGTTGGTTGATTCTTGATCAAGAAAGCAGTTGCTATCTGCAAGCATCTTGTGAGTATTTGCACTCCATACACACATAAAACACTTTATTTAGCTCCATATCCTATTTTAAAATATATAAATATATAATTCAAACTGCATATATAAATACGGAATGGTATCTATACCTTTGACATTTACTCTATAAATGTTATACTATTTCATTTTTATATCTAAACATAGAATTACATGTCTACACTTAACATTTTATTTCTATTTGACCAAATGTTACTTAATTAATAATATTAAGAAATGAAATTTAAACAATATTAAAATCTCTAAGTGCATCATCATAGTACTCAAACCCAGTACAGTATAAAGTTTCTTATCCGTAGATATTCGGATTGTGAATTGATCACATGTCATAGATAAGTGACATTTGCTATTTTTTTTATAACACTGTTTTAACCATCCTTATGAAGTTTACAACAATGATCAAAAACAAAAACAAAATGAGATGAGATGTCATTAGACACCAAGAAAACTGAAAGAGACCTCACCTAACCCCTTCTTGTGGAGCCTCCAAACTGAGTAGGTGATGTAGCCACGGTGGATAGCTGCGGGCGATGTAAGACTGCTATAAGCTATAAGCTAATATTTAGTTTAGACTTATGGGATGAATGTTTTCGACCTAGCTGTTTGGAGGAAGACTAACATAAGCTTCACTTACTATATTTTTTCTTTTTATAAAAGAAAAATACGATCAAGTAGAACGGTTAGGATAATCATATTTCACGTTTTAAATCCACTAACAGCTATAATAACTAAGTTAAGGAAAACATTAATACAACCACGTTTAAAAACATTGCAAATTAGGAGATAGTAAAAGAGTTCAGATAGGCAGGATAGAGCTTTTCATGGTTCTCTTATGAGTTTTTCTTCACTTTTCCAAACTTGGCTTTTCATGGTTCACTTCTGCATTGGCAAGAATCTTGACTCAATCAGTTTTCAACATCTGTAGTAGAGTTGGATAGATAGAGAGAGAAATTATGTTCAGTCTTTTCCATTGAAATTTAGAAAAAAAAAAAAAGTTCCCACGGCCTTTACCTCATCAGGTAGTGGAACAGAGGTGTGTGCTCCGTGCTCCAGAATAGCAAGAACAAGTTTCATTGAAGCTACAGCTTCATGAACACACCTGCCCGGAGATTTCAGCATTTCGTATCCCAAAACAGACTAGGAAGGGGGAAAAATAAAATAAAAATTATAGATGTGGTGAATTTACAAGCGACTAAAATTGTTGAGGGCGGCATGGCATTACCTTGCACAAATGATCTAGGGAGGGCCTTGGAAGCTTTCCGATACCACCAGAGTAATCATACTTGAACAAAAGTGAGGTATCGATAACTCTTGCATGATCCATCTTTAAAGCTTTGAGATCCTTGTTCAAAAGGTGACCGACCATTATAATTTCCGTAGGAAACAATCGCAGCAATTTTTCCTGATACACAAGAAGATGAGGATGACAGGGCCAAAACAAAAAAAAAGAAAAGCGGAAATTAAGAGAGTCTGATACCAACCTGTATGTCTGCCAAAGGAGTAGCGTCGTATTGAGTAAGAGAATCAAGTCCGGTAATACTAGTCCTGTGGTTAATAACCCGCTGATTTGGTTTGACAAGCTCATCAAAAATCACCTTCAAATTGCGGTCAACTACAGCAACTCTGACAGCAGCTTCAGTGTTATCTTGACAGAGAGCCTTCTCGCAACAAACGGCAACCATGTCGGTTTTGGTAATGGCAATACCGATAGGTATCTTTGAGCGGAAGGAATAGGAAATAATTGGTGCGAGATCGTTCAGAGGATCACGAATAGGGCTCCCTATGATACCCGTAAGGACCCACTCCTTGGAGTTATACGGGATCAAATAGTCGAATGGGTACTCCTCATGTGTAAGAGTCTTTCGAACTAGTCTCTACATATATATATATATATAGAGAGAGAGTTAGTTGATGAAAACAAATTAAAAAAAAAAAACTCAAAAAGAAGACAAACCTGCTCAGCTGTCTCGTTCGGGTATTTGTGTGAGTAGCTGCAAACCAAGGGACGGCTGGGATTCATAAGCAAAGCCAATTTCTGGAAGAAAAAAAAAAACAATTTCAAGTCGTTCCCAAAAGAAAAAAAAAAGGAGTAATTTGAATAAACAATTTTGTTGTCCAAAAAAAAAAAAAGAACAAACAATTTTACCTTAGAATCTTCTTTGGTGATGATTGAAGTAAGGAATTGGATCAAAGTAGTGTCTTTTCGTGTAATGGGATCACAGAAGACATCTGACTTTCTTGGGTCGCAAAATTTTAGAAATTCAAGCCATGTTCCGTGCTCCCCTGACAAACCCATACGATAAGCTGATATCGTCAGCTCTATCAACTCCTACAACCACAATCAACCATGTTAAAATAAATTTAGAGAGAGCAGAAACGACCATCTAATCCCCGAAAATATAAGATTACTTACCGATTTCTCCCTTGTTGCTATTATGTACTCCATAACCTAAACCCTAGCTTGCTCCCAGTGGTGTAATACCTAGAATAGAAGATAACAACTATTGTTCGGTTCGGCTTTCAACTTTTAGGGCTTTTCTTACAATTTTTCGGGCTTCTTTTCTATCAACCTAAAATATCCACTCCTAGAAAACTTAACCGACTCTCTCTCTCTTTTTTTTTTTTTTGAACAACACCGACTCTCTCTCTTTTATCAATTTTTCCTCCATTTGTGAGTGCTTGATTTGATGGTTTGGGCCTCCACTCCAGTTGGGCTTCTTTCTGTTTTGTCGGACGTCCATTACTTTAGAACGGCACAGAATTGTTTTGCGTTTTGGCGCCTCGGTTCGACCGGATTTTAAGTTTTACTCTAATTTAATATTAGTTAATTACATATATTTTATAATTAAAAAATTATATACTTTTATATCATTGTTAGACTTAAAATAAAATAAAAGCTTCAAAATAATATAAGAATATAGTGAAAATTAATTAATTTAGATAGATATTAAAAATATATATTTGTAATGAAATCTTTTTAAAATTTACTTTTTTATATTTTTTTAATTTGATTGAAAAATCTAAGTTTTAGTATCAAATCCTATCACCAGTTTTGGTGAATCTAACTGATTTTAAATGAGTTTGCCGATTTAATTGAAGTTTTGATGGTTGTCTGATGTGGAGTGGTATGTTTACTGAAGATGTTTTACATGCAGAATCATTCATCGATTCAAGTATTTCAGAGAGAGTTTTTGTGACAATTCATTTCGTGGAAGCTTACAGCGCTATAGCACATTGATCTCAATTCCTCACATGTAGTCTTCACTGATTCACCGTATAGATTTTTGATGCGTTTGGCGTTCCATGAACCCAAAAATGATTACCAACGTTTTTGTTTGCAAGGGGCGGATCCAAACACCATCTCTTGGCAAATTTTCTCAAGACAAGTAAATCTTTTTTTCCTTCTTACCTCCGGTGACGCCTTTGTTTTTTTTTCTTTTCTGTTCTCTTTTCGGTCTTCTCCTCTCTTCCAAAGCGAAACATAATAATCAACTCGTGACTTTAAATCATCATGTTCGTCTCACTGGATCTGCTCAATTCCCCAAAGAAAATGTTGCATCATCCAGTTATGATAATTGGAGAGGATGAGGTCGTGGACGCGGTCGAAACCGTTATCATAGTCGTGGAAAAGAATGTGGAAGAAGATTCCGTCTGTATAATGAAAGAAATAATAAAAATTTCCACGAAAATGAAAGGGGACAGAATTATAAAACGCAAACAGAAAAGGTTTGCTACAGATGCGGCATAAAAGGTCACTGGGTACGTGGTTGTCGTACGCCAAAACACTTAGCCGATCTGTATAGAGAATCTCAAAAGGGAAAATAGAAAGGATGAGGTGAAACAAACTTCATCTCTGATGAACCTGGACCATCCTTCATGGTTTAAATGAAGATACTCATCTCGACGTATTAGATTTTCTGGTTGAGCCAGAAAATATCGATGAGTGATATAAGAACAAAACATGGGAGTTCTTATAAAACCAAAACAGTTCTTATAAAAAATAAGTGACACATCGAGCAATATAGGCTAGAAATGGGAGTTTTAGAAGGTTGCAACTGCAAGTAAAATACAATAAAAGGCTCAGGCTCATAACAACTTCAGTGTCTGTTGAAAGTCTTTTGGATGATGTTCGAAAGGTAAGCCTTGACATCATCAGTGTCTGTTGAAAGTCTATTGGATGATGTTCGAAAGGTACGTCATGACACCATCCGCAATCTCAGGGTAACTACATAAACAAAACCAAATTATAATAAACAGAGGAACAAGCAAAAATAGTAATAATAATAAGAACTATGGTTATACTCATTCAATGGTCGAAACGTTGCAGCATCGAATCCGGCTTCACTAAAAGAAGTGAAATAATTTCTTGCCTCCACATACTTAAGATGCCACCATATTTCTGGATCAACCATTTCCGAATAGTCCACAAACTGAAAAGTCGGTCGTCCTGAGAGACGAGACAGAGAAAATATAAGTGTACTGAAAGAAAAGAAAAAAAACACAAGTGTACTTAATACTAAGAAATCCAATTCGCATGTGCAGTGATGTTGTTCGTTCTGAACAGTCTTCTATTCCCCTTATGCTTGCCAATTCACTGGATTGTTCCAAAATATATTTATCAGACTATACTTGAACAATCTTTAACCTATTTAATGTTGTACCTATATGGGGGTAGACCGTTGTATCCAATAGCTGCTCCTAACTTTAATGCTACTGGGTATTTTACTCTTATTTTGAATCAATTTATTTATCTCATTCATGTTTGTACAATTATTGTATTTTTTTGTTTGATCTATTGGATTATCATGTCCTATTACTAGTAGAAATCAATTTTAGAAGCTATGAATTCATTGGATTCTCGACAGCTTGCTCTACAAGAATGTCAGGCCTAGGCGCTGTTGTATGGAAAATAGTTCGAGTGAACTTTTTACCTTCGACTGCTACTTCAGAGTTTGTTTGACCATGTCTTCTCATCTCATTAGGATCGAAAACATTATGCTTGTAGAGTTCCACAATATTTTCCGTCTCCATCATTTTAATCTGGGAGAAAGAAAAACAATTGGAAATTAGTATGAAAAGCAAATGGTCTTCATATAAAAGATTAGAAAGATAACGAAAACAACGAATAAGCAACAAATGTTCTTCAAAGATTATGAAGAACAGTTACCTAGGTGGGTGATGATTTTTTTTTTTACTTAAAAATGACTAGTGATGACTTTTTTTTTTCTTTTGGTCACGAGACTGATGATGATCTTCTTTGATTCCAAGATATTTATCTATAGCATTATTTTTAAGAATATTCGACAAATAATATTTGTAAATATTTTATAATAATTTCACAGTTGTTTCTCATCCACAAGTTAAAAGCTACTAGGAAGATGGACTAAGACTGGTGTAAGTTCTCTAACTTCAGTTTTAGACTCTTGAGCATACTCAACTTTACTGTTTAGTTAGAAAGTTAAATTTATCTTTGGTTATTTCTCTATAATGTACCAGAAGCTACGTACCAAGTTTTGGAACAGTGCCGGCTTATGTAGTGGGGCGAGCGGGGAGACGGCCCAGGGCCCATGAACAAAAGAGGGCCCATAAACTTTTTTAGCTTACATATATAGCGTTAATTTTTTTTAGATTTTTAGCATAATTGTTTAAATGTTTAAGTCTCCGCATGGCCAACTGAAAATAGATAGCGGACTTGAATAAAAGTTTTTGTAATTTCTCAATTTTAGGCCTTAAAGTTATGTTTCGTTGTTTTGTACACGGTCATAAGAAATTAAGTATATATAATGATTGTAAAGCTAAACCGGAACCAATACAACTATTGTTATTGTATTTGGTTATTTGTTAAGTTACTTAATACGTTTCATCAAAGATCATTATACGCTTGAAAGCGGTCAGGAGGAAAACCCAGAAGAGTAGGCCTTAGAGAATTATAAGTGTTTGTAAATGCATTTGTTAACGTGTTCTGTTTTTCTTAATATATTCTTGTTTCTTAGATACAATTCAACTTATATTTACTGGTCATTCTCAACTTTGCTTTTTTTTTCTTTTTGGACGTTCTGATTCTTCTTTCTAAGTGGTATTTTTTTTTGGTTATATTTGAATTTGTTTATTCAATAACAAAAAAAAGGTGCTTCAAGTAGTTGTGACAAGCTTAAGTGCTGATTAAAGTTCGGGTTTGATCGTATGAATAACGCTTCTCCTTCAAATGATTTGTTTTGACTGCGCCATTGGTTTCTGTTGGTTTTAGATTATGAAATTAGTTATTACACATTTGTTTTGCTTGTTTTGATACACATAATTGTTTTATTTTGTTGCCGTAACCCATATTTTTCTTGCTTAGGGGGCCAAATATTTTGTTTTTTGCCCCAAGAGTTTAAGCCGGGCCTGTTTTGGAACAGCCTTTAAACGAACAAGAGCTAAAAGGAAGATCAGACATACCACAAACACTTCAAGACTTCATGTCTAAAGTCAAAAGAAGCAAATCAGACGCAAGAGAATTCGCTCAAAAGCTTAAAGAAATGGTGACATTGATGGAACAGAGAACAAGAACAGCTAAGATCCAAGAGTATATATACCGCCACGTCGCATCAAGCAGCATACCTAAGCAACTTCACTGCTTAGCTCTTAAACTAGCCAACGAACATTCAATAAACGCAGCCGCATGCACGTCTCCAGCTTCCAGAAGCCGAGCTTGTCCCAACCTTGGTCGACAACAACTACTTTCACTTTGTCTTGGCTTCAGACAATATTCTTGCAGCCTCGGTTGTGGCCAAGTCTCTGTTCAAAACTCTTTAAGACCTCATAAGTAGTATTTTCACATCATAACGGACAGGAAAACTTATTTCCCAATGCAAGCATGGTTCTCACTGCATCCTCTGTCTCCAGCTATATCATTGAGGTCAAGGCATTGCATCATTTTGATTGGTTATCTAAAGGGAAAGTACCGGTTTTAGAAGCTATGGAGAAGGATCAGAGAGTGAGGTCTCAGTACAGAGGCGGTTCAACCCAGTTGTTGTGTCTGCCAAGTTACAAGCTCTTAGCCCTAAGTATAACTCATTGATGAATCACATCCGAATTCATCTACCAGAGGTAAGTTTGATCAGTGTGAGTCACTAGTGAAGAATACTCTTAACCATTATTAGACTTTACAACTTCTTTGTTTTTTTTTTGCAGTTGTTTCCGAGTTTAAGCAAGGTTGTGTTTCTAGACGATGACGTTGTGATTCAAACTGATCTTTCACCACTTTGGGACATTGACATGGATGGGAAAGTTAACGGAGAAGTGGAGACATGTAGAGGAGAAGACAAGTTTGTTATGTCAAAGAAGTTCAAGAGTTACCTCAATTTCTCAAACCCTATCATTGCAAGAAACTTTGACCCTGAGGAGTGTGCTTGGGCTTATGGGATGAATGTTTTCGACCTAGCTGCTTGGAGGAAGACTGACATACGCTCCACTTACTATCACTGGCTTGACGAGGTAACTCAAGATGAAAAGAACCACTATCATGTAGTAGCAATCAACTTAACTTTTGACCATTTTTCATGTTGCAGAACTTAAAGTCAGACCTGAGTTTGTGGCAGCTGGGAACTTTGCCTCCAGGGTTGATAGCTTTCCACGGCCATGTCCAGACCATAGATCCGTTTTGGCATATGCTTGGTCTCGGATACCAAGAGACCACAAGCTTCTCTGATGCTGAAAGTGCTGCTGTTGTTCATTTCAATGGAAGAGCTAAGCCTTGGCTTGATATAGCGTTTCCTTATATACGTCCTCTTTGGGCTAAATATCTTGATTCCTCTGATAGGTTCATCAAGAGCTGTCACCCAGAGAAGAGATTAACAGTTTCATTCATAAGAGCAAACAGTGGTCAAGTTTCCCTCTTACAGATCATGTTTTGCCGTCTCCCCTGTTACTAAATTGTTTGCACTTTCACACACTTATGGCGAGAAAGTAAAGACCCATTCTATGTATTACTGTAAGAACCCATAGTGTGAGAGACGATCTGCCAAACTCTACTTAAATTTACATGTAAATAGATTACATAAGCAATTGGAGTTTACAATGTTAATATCATTGTTCAACACAATAACAGTTACACAAGGATAGCAAAACAAATGGACTTTTCTTTTCTTTTTTCATCAAAAGTAAGAAGCAAACCAGTTGAAGATTTTTATCTTGAGGTTCCAGTTTAAGCAACTGGAGGACGAAGGACATGATCCTGAGAAGTATCGACTGAAGCGGGAGGCATGAACTGCCACATGGCAACTCCAGGGTAACTGATGATTGACACCATCTTGTTTCCAGGAGCTTGGCCTTGCGCAAAAGCAGTTGGCATCATAGGTGGGGCAGGGAAAAAGCTTGGTTGAGGAGGAGCATTCATGGCTTCCAGCTGTTGCTCTAGCTTATCTTTCTCTGTCTTCAGCCTCTGCTTCTCATCTCTCAGCTCGTTCTTTTCGGTCTGATCAAGATAACAAGGAAAATAGTAACTATCCAATGATTTTATATGGACAAAGGAGGATGGCAAGTCGAAGGCAACTTCACCTTTAACTCTTTGATTTTGTCCTGAAGACTTGAATTGGAGTCCTTCAACTTGTGTGCCTCGCCACGTAGCTGTGTCACCATACGGACAGCATCGACCAAGATTGCAGCCTTGTCTGTTTTGGGAGGATGTCCAGGCTCCAAAATTACACCCAATTCCATAAACCTGTTATTCAGTTAGCAAGATCATCAATTTCAATTTCCACAATATATAGTTTGATAAATAATGTATGCACAAGTGACGTTGTGTATCAACTTGATTAGTTATTTATGATAAACTTTCAATATTCTGAAATCAAATGTTTAACAATAATTGAATGTTATATATATATATTTTTTAAAATTACTTGTCATTCAGCCTATCACGTCGCTGCTTCTCTCTACATGCTTTCGAGCTAGTGGCAGAGGATGATTCACATCTCCCCCTGAAAAAAGTAATAAACGTTGTCAAGAGAGCCAAAACAGATCTCACAGATAGTTAGACTATGAACCCATTTCTCAAAAGTTTTAGGTTCCAGAAAAGTTGCTAAAGTTACGTGGTTCAGTCAGGCTTTTGAATAAAAAATGCAACAGGTGGAGTAGAGCAGGAGAAGAGAAGCTTTTACCTCTTTCTGGAGGCAGGTTCCTTGCTGGCTTCTGAATTTCCAGCAGTGCCATCAACTCCCACGCTGAACCAACAAGAATAAAGATCAAAGCAACTAAGTTATAAACTAATACTAATTAAGGAAGAAGATTTATAAAGAAACATTGACATGATAAGGTCAAACTATCTACCCACAAAAAAGGAATCAACAGATTCCCTAATCAAGAAACATGTCAGGCACACATACACAGTTGAGTTTTGGATAGACAAAACACAGGACTTCAATGTCTCATTTGAACCAACTGTAAGGATATCTCTCACCACCACCTAAAGAACCCAACTTTGAGCTTAAAATGATACTTCCTGATGATAAATCGCGAGAAGCAACTTACGGTCTAATCGACACTGAAAACGACCAGATGCTTCAAAACAAAATCTGGACTTTTGGATTAAAAAAAAAAACACAATCCCTAGCCTGAAGACTTGATGTCATTTGAATCAACTGTAAAGATATCTCATCAAGCTAAAGAACCAAACTTTTAAGCTAAAAATTAAATAAACAAAGTAACAAACAAACAATAGCTTCTCTATAACCCTATACTCAAACAATCCGACAAGAAAACGACAAAAAAAAAACTGAAGTTCTTACAAAAACAGCTGACTGAATCAGTTAGAGAGAAACCTGGAGTTTGAAGAGACGAGAATAGGTTGGTGGTGAAGAGGAGGAGGCCAAGAGAGAGCAGAAGGACCACTTCAATCTTATATGTATGTGCCATATAAAATGCTAAGATTTAATGTAAAATATTATAAAAATTTAATGTAAAATATTATAAAAATATTATAAAGGCCAAGAGAAAGCAGAAGGACCACCTCTCTCTATAGCTTTAATGCTAAGATTTAATGTAAAATATTATAAAAATTGTTAGCGGGTAACTTGCTTATTAGAAACAAGTATTTATCATATAGTAAAACCATGACCTCAATCTTATATGTATGTGCCATATAAAATATAATGTTAGATGCTACATTTGGTTTGTATAAGATACAATAATTATTAACCTTAAATAAGAAATAAGTTTAACATCTAATAATGTAGTTAGTTCGATAACTTAGTTTGTAGCATTTAACATCTTGGCAACCAATTTTAAAAGCGTTAACAAGTTTTATTTTAGTGAACCGAGCATGTATCAGTTAATGAAAAGATTTAATATAAAATGTAACTGCTAAGCTTTGATGTTCGACGTTATACAACTTGTTAGATCGGTAATCAATTTCGTATTCTTTAACACATTATGTATCAGTTAATGTAGCTATTTATTAACATCTGATAAACTATTTTAAAACTTTTTAATATCTTTTGTAACAGTTACGCTAAGATTTACCTGCTAATAATACTCGATTTGCCCCTGCATCATCTTCGTCGTGGTCTTCACCAAACCATCATCTTTCGAGATATGATACTCTAGCTCAGACAAAACCATCCATATTTTGATCACAAAAGTGGATGGAGAAGATATAGATTGTGGATCCCGACTTTCTTGTCACCGGATCTACTTCGTGATTCTCGGATCTCTGAACGCGATTTGAATCATGGTTCGTACTGGCGGATTCTCTAACTTTCGAATTGGATTCGGGACGAGGAAATCAAAATTGGATTTTCGAAATGATATATATCCTTTTGAAAAAAAACCTAGTTTTGAGTAAAGGGAGATTTGAAATGAAAAAGAAAAGAGAAAGAAAGGAAGAAGAAGAAAGAGATTATTTGGTCAAGAATTGTGGAGTAACGAGAGAGGGAGAGAGAGAGGATGGAGTTGGTAGTTTGGGCAGGGGTAATTTTGGGTTTTAAAAAAGTCAATAGTGAATGGGGTATATAGTTAATTATGATATTTTATGTGTATATAGAGCCTAATTACTTTTTTTTTTCTGATAACCTTAAAAAATTGGATTACACTATTTAAATTACATATGTTCGACAACAGAAATATTAATACTTCAAATTATAGTGGATATTCTTGGTCTAAAATTTTTGTAATATAAATTAAAATAACAAGAATTTTAGAATATTTCAGTTTTAAATATTAAAATACTTTTAGAAAATATTTTTGCATTTATTTATCTACAACCATCCGCAACCGCAATGTTAGAGTATATACAGTTTAGATATTATGTATCTTGTAGATACACTAGATATTCTCTAGAAATTCCATTGTAACATATATATATATACTCTTAATTTTAAAATGTGGAACGATTTTGAAAAACAAATTATAACATTTTGTGATCATTGTAAACGCCAACGAAGTATCTTAATAGAATTGTCAAAACGCAGTTAAATTGTTTTTATTTTTGTTTTACAACATAAAGAGCATAATAACATATATGTTGTATTACCGGGTGATAGAAATAATATAAATTATATTTGCAGACCAATTAGTTACACAGATTTCTTGTGGAATTTCTTTTATTATATTTTACAGCATATATATACAGTGGACTATCATAAAATTATAATAGATAATTGATAATAAAAATAAAATAACCTAATTCAAACAATTAGTTTTGTTAATAGAATCATAATCTACAAATCATATCATCTTCCTTTTATAAAAAAAATACAGTTTAACTTCCTAATTAGAATACAAAAAGATTCTAATAATATAACTAAAAAGTGATAATTAGAAGTTATGTATTGGTTCACCAATGGTTTAACTGGTAGGTCGGATTCTGGATTTTAGCGGGTTTTATTTAATCTACAAAATCATATCATCTTTTTTTGTAATAAAAACTAAAATTTAAATTCCTAATTAGACTACAAACATATTTTAATAATATAACTTTAAAAATTAATAATTAAAAGTTATGTCTTGATTCAACCACTGGTTAACTGGTAGTCGGGTTGTGCGCTTTAGGAAGTTTTGTTAGGTTTTACTGTATTATAAAATAATGATTTTTTCCTAAAACTCAAACCGGTTGCATATCGGATTTACCAATTCAACCATAGATCCTAATCGAGTTTCAAAACACTGGGTACAAATGTATAGCTATGCAATACTACAAATTCAATACAATTATCAAAACATCTTGCTAATAATCTTTTAGAAATGGTATACACATATATGATTACAAAAACATAAAAAATAACTTTTTAGAAAAAAATAAAACAAAAAATACACTCGCCCTTGCAAAGGACGGATGAGAATCTAGTTAGCGATTAAAACTAAAAAGCCTCTACTATAAAAATATTTATAATAGTAAGTTAATATAGTTAAAAAAAACTAATCTACTTAAAAAATATGAGTTTCAAAATTTCGAAGAAAATAATTGAAGTAAAATTTTTAATTTAAATATTTTGACCAATTCTATTAAAATAAATAAAACATCTAAAACATTCAATATTATAAATGATATGCTTAAATAAGTATAAAAAGCCAAAATAAAACAATATATTTTATATGACATATCCAATTTCTATCTAGATTATTATATTTTTAACAATTAAAAATGATTCTATATTTACTTTTAGGTTTACTATTTATAGAAAACGGTAATGGGCCTTCTGGATCTAATTGTGTCCTCGTTTCCGAATCACATAATATTTTGGCCTAATAAGAGCCCGACTGATTTCGGCTTTATCATCCTCGCTCGTCTGTCTGTAAAATCGAATCCTTTCCTGTCTCCTCGCCGCTGTTGCTGTCTCCCAGGTTTGTCTCTCTCCAACCGACACTCTGTTCTTTAGGGTTAAACGTTTTGGCGGTTTTGTTTCGGATCTGATATTATTTTTTACCGGTAATCTTAGGTGTTTTTATTAGCCATGAATATGTTTAGTGGTAAGGCTCAAGGAAATTCAGTAGAAGTGGGATTCGTATGTTCATGTGGAACACGATTTGAAACAATAGTGTTCAGGAACAAGCTTTCCTTCACTCGGAAGCCTACACTTGTGGTTCCTGTGGTGGGTGTTGAATGGATTGGAGAAGAAATGGAAGTGAAGGTGGTTTGTCCTCATTGCCATCAAGGGTGTCTATTCAAAGGCGGTGCTGGTCGTGGGACATTTACCGCTATTGACTGAACTATCTCTTATACTTTTATAACTATAAATAAAACTGGATGTTTGTTTATTATGCTTAGAAAACAATCAAAAACTCTTATGTGTTTAGATCTGCTGTTTATTGTGGTTGGATATCAATCAAAAATGTTATAATGTTATAATGCTATATCCATATTTATGTTTACAGCAGTTTTGTCTAGCTGGTCTTACTTTATGTTTTAGATTTTGACCACAAGTAGCTCTTGATTTTTGGTGGTTGTTCTCACTCCCATCTTCTTCAATGATCTTCATATCCTTAGCTTGCCAAACCGTATAAGCACAGTTTCTTGAATTTGCTGTTGCCATTTTCATCATATCAAAACCCGAAGCAATAGTATCAGAGCTACAACGGTGGTTAGGTTCTAGGATAATGGCAAATGGATTGGTGAAGAACAAGACTCACCTGGTCATCAGCAATGACTTTTGTTATCAAAAAAGACAGAACCTGCTAATGAAGAAACCCTGGACTTTGATGAAGAAAAGTTGAATCTTATGCAAAAAAAATGGAAACATTGGGAGGACAAGAAAGCTCAAAGGGTTTGGTGAATTGGATTCCAATGAAGTTCATGGCTGAGTTTAGTCAAGAACCACCAAAGACAAATCCCAAGTGATCAAGTTAAGAGACGTTAATATGCTTCTGTGCGTATAATATTCATTCATATGCTGTTGTTCTGTTTTCATGGTTTGGAGATGCAAAGTGTTATCAATGACTTTGGGAATAGAACCCATTCATTACTTGGGTACTGAAACAAATGATAATAACGAGCATACACTGTTGTATCATTACTTGGTTTGAATAACAGAGCTTTTTATGTGATGCAACAACAACAACCATCAGAGTGATAAGAACGATGACAGGATGTTGTTGGACATGGAGTTTCTCCTAAATGCAGTAAGTACGTTTTTAAGGCATGACAAATGCCAGAGGATTTTGTGGCTACTTGACACACGTGGGTTTTGGACTTGGAGAGTTTGTACTTTTTTTCTTAAATCCCATAATCGCCAGACACTTCAACCCTGAGGAATGTGCTTGGGCTTATGGGATGAATGTTTTCGACCTAGGTGCTGTTTGTTTCACCATCTATCATCTCCATCCAGCTAATTCATCTAGATGATTCATCTAGATGGTCCATCCACATTTTTGAGATTGTTTATTTGTCCATCAAGATGGTCCATCTAGATGGATCATCTAGATGGACTCATGTTTGTTTCTCTGTTTTTCTTCTTCATCTAGATGAGTTTAGTAAAAAAATTACTAAAATACCCTTGTTTTAATTTTGTCATATCTATGATATTAATTTTAAATATATTTTTATAATTTTGACGAGAAAATTAATTTTTGCGGATTTGGGGGAAAACGGGTTTTTGTGGTTTTAGTAGGAAAATGTGTGTTTGCGGTTATAGCGAGAAACACGTTTTTGCGATTTTAGCGGAAAAATACATTTTTGCAGGAAAATGTGTTTTTCGGGAAAACGTGTTTTTGCGATTTTGGCTGAAAAATGTATTTTTACGGTTTTGGCGGGAAAACACATTTTTGCGGATTTAGCAAAAAACACGTTTTGGTGGGAAAACGCATTTTTGCGGAAAAACACGATTTAGCGGGAAAACGCGTTTTGGCAGGAAAACACGTTTTCGCGGAAAAATACGTTTTGGCGGGAAAACACGTTTTAGCGGTAATACGCGTTTTGGCGGGAAAACACGTTTTGGCGGGAAAACACGTTTTGGCGGAAAAACGTGTTTTGGCGGGAAAACGTGTTTTGACGGGAAAATGCGTTTTGGCAGGAAAACGCGTTTTTGCGGAAAAGTACGTTTTGGTAGGAAAACGCGTTTTGCGAAAAACACATTTTGGCGGGAAAACACATTTTGGTGGGAAAACGCGTTTTGGCGGGAAAACGTATTTTTTTGCGGTTTTATCANCGTTTTGGCGGAAAAACGTGTTTTGGCGGGAAAACGTGTTTTGACGGGAAAATGCGTTTTGGCAGGAAAACGCGTTTTTGCGGAAAAGTACGTTTTGGTAGGAAAACGCGTTTTGCGAAAAACACATTTTGGCGGGAAAACACATTTTGGTGGGAAAACGCGTTTTGGCGGGAAAACGTATTTTTTTGCGGTTTTATCATTTGAGGAAATGTGGTATTGTCACGTAAGTTACAAAATAATAGTATGTTTAAGTTTGTAATTTATGAATTATATAAAAGGGTATAATAGACATTATACAATTTTGGAAGAACCATCTCCATCCAGATGGTTCAAATTGGTCCATCCAGATGGACTTCAAAATTAAACCTAAAATTTCAAAGTCATCCGGATGATCCATCTAGATGAGTTGTACTTTTAGTGTATAAACAAACAAAACTCTCATCTCCATCCAGATGACTCATCTGGATGGTGAAACAAACATGCCCCTAGCTGCTTGGAGGAAGACTAACATAAGCTCCACTTACTATCATTGGCTCGACGAGGTAAAATCAAAAGCCACCAACTAGCTAACAAACACTATCAACTTAATCTCGACAATTTTTTCAATGTTGCAGAACTTTAAGTCAGACCTGAGTTTGTGGCAGCTGGGAACTTTGCCTCCAGGGTTGATAGCTTTCCACGGCCATGTCCAGACCATAGATCCGTTTTGGCATATGCTTGGTCTCGGATACCAAGAGACCACAAGCTTCTCTGATGCTGAAAGTGCTGCTGTTGTTCATTTCAGTAGAAGAGCTAAGCCTTGGCTTGATATAGCATTTCCTTATATACGTCCTCTTTGGGCTAAGTATCTTGATTCCTCTGACAGGTTCATCAAGAGCTGTCACATTAGAGCATCATAATAATAATCACACATCATAAGTTGGCTAAAACACAGAGAATAGATTCACATATACATTCAGAGCAAACAGTGGTCAAGTTTCCCTTTTACAGATCATGTTTTGCCGTCTCCCCTGTTTCTATTTTTTTTTGCAATTTCACACTCTTATGGGCGAGAAAGTAAAAGACCCATTCTATGTATTACTGTAAAAAACCAATAGTGTGAGAGGCTATCTGCCAAACTCTACTTCAATTTACATGTGAATAGATTACATTACGCCAAGTAATTGGAGTTACAATGTCATATCATTATTCAACACAATAACAGTTACACAAGGATAGCAAAACAAATGGACTTCTCTTTTTTTTTTAGAGGAAGTAAGAAGCAAACCAGTTGAAGATTTTTAACAACATAAAAATGAATAAAAAATAAATGCTTCACCAGGTGGTTCAAATTCGTTTGAAAATTTGTTAGACTGCTTAACACCCTCTTTCCTATAAAGTTCGCCCACTTCTGTTTGCTTTGTCAATTTTTTTTTTTTTTATTTTAATAATAATATTATCCAACTCATTTTCTTTTACTTTTAACAATAGTACATTCACATTTTATTTATCTCTTTATAATACTTAATTTTTTAAAAAATCATTATATCTAAAATGAAATACATGTAATGTTATTGATATTTATTATATCTTATAGTAATATTTTAATTCATAAAACATTAAATAATACTACTACAGCAAGAACCGCAACGCTTGATCCGCTTGCGTTCTATTGATCCACTTGTGTTTTATTTGATCTGTTTGATCTGCATGTTCCTCTTGATCCGCTTGATACGCTAGAACCGCAACGCTTGATCCGTTTTTTTCATTCGAAGCCAAGATGTGTGCATTACACTTAGGTGTGCCATCCGTTTTTGGTTCACTTTCCATTCAATACGTATATCAATAAAAAAAAAGCAGTTCTGGTTATAGTTGTAACAAGTTGATGAATGGGGAAGTCAAGTGTGTACGCTTGGGTGTGTCATCCATCTTTTTCTCATCTTCCTTTTAAACACATTTAACTGATTTTAGTTTGATTGATAATTTAATTATAAGAAACTAGTGGGCTATATTTCTGGATCTAGTTGCCCTCGTTTCCGAATTACATAAGATTTTTGTAGAACACAATAACACATTCCAAGGCTAATTTTGATTTTATCAGTGGTAGAGAATGATGATTCAACCGAATGTCGAAGGTTCAGAAAAACTTTAACACAAGCCCAAATAAGAGCCCATTATGTCTAAATTTTATTCTGGTTTTATCATCCTGTCTGTTTATATAATCGAATCCATTCATGTCTCTACTTCGCCGCTTGTCGCTGTTGCCTCCTCTTCTTCGCAGGTTTGTCTTTCTCCGATTTGGTTTCGAAAACTTAGTGGTGATATGAATGTTGATATATATATATATATATTGCTTCTCTTCCTTTGCTCTTTTCAAATTAGATTTCCTCACACTTATTATGAAAAATCTAGCCACAAAAAGTTTATGGAAATAAACAACCGATATTTCTAAAAAGAAAAAATTATCTTTAAAATGTAGCTGACAAAAGGCAGAAAATGCTGCTTTTTTTTGCTACTCAAACAAATAAAGAAAGGTATAGAGGTGTTTATTGCATTATCTTACATATCGTTAAATATGTACTCTTTAACACTATAAAAACTATCACAAATATTGAGTATTGTACTCATATGATTAATTTCAAAGTTATGAAGTCCTTGGACTTCTATTTTCTACTGGGTATTTTACTCTTCTTTTGAATCAATTTATTTATCTCATTCATGTTTGTACAATTATTGCAATTTTTTGTTTGATCTATTGGATTATCATGTTTTATTATTTATTGGATTATCATGTCCTATTACTAGTAGAAATCAATTTTAGAAGCTATGAATTCATTGGATTCTCGACAGCTTGCTCTACGAGAATGTCAGGCCCAGGCGCCGTTGTACAAAAAATAGTTCGAGTGACCAACAACATACATTTAGCACTTACCGGTCACAACACATGGTACCGGCTTTTGAATACACCCTCCAATGAAGGAAACAAGGTTTAAGTGACTGAGATTCCTACAACACCAGTTAAATATGTAGTATATCCAACAATGACAGTTTAAATTGTGTCATACCTCATCAGATCAAGCTGCTCAGAAAGCCTTGCGAGTGTCTCATTGTTTATGTAATTCAGCTTCAGGACTTTGATTGCTACGATTTCCTTCGTTTTATAAGTTCCTTGATACCTGCATAGCACAAGAGGGGTGATAATAAGTAAGTGGTGGTATTACAAGAATATGAAATCTTATAGTACAAAATAAGAACTTACACATCCCAGCATGTTCCAGAGTTCAATAGCTTGCCAAAACGAAGTTCGCTCATGTCAATTTCCCAACGTCTTTCCGATGGATTCAACTCGAACTCAGCAGCACTCCAGCCAGCAAATGGATCATCCTCATCATCACTAGACAGAGGTTGCTGGGAGTGTTGCAATTTTCAGAGCTTCTTCAACCATTCCTCGTGCTTCCAAGAAATGAGCAACACTGATAAAGTGGTGGTTAATTTTCGAAAATATGAAGTATCCTCGAAACAATCATTGATAGGTTTGCGGATATATTAAACATTAGATTGTGTTCTACACAAGACTTAATTCTAAGAGAAAATAACACTACCAAAGGCCTATCACGCAACAAGAAATTAAGAATAAAAGTTTGGATACTAGATCAAAATTACCTGTTATGCTGATCTTTAGGAATTGTAGGCAAGATTTCACTGGCTTTGTCTAGATCACCTCGCATCACAAGGGTCTTGTACTCAATCACAGAGGCGGATCCACTAAGGCAAATGGGGTGTCACTTGACACCCCTTAAATATGATAAAATCAAATTATGCATGTGAAAACATTGAGGTTTCAGCAGCACATTTGGTAAAGATGGAACTCTGAACCCCCAAATATCCCAGTTCGACACCACTTTGACACCTCCTATATTATTTTTGACTCTTTTTAATAGAGAGATATGACCCGGGTTAAATCGAACTCTGGGTCCGCCACTGCTCAATCAGGATTAGTGGCAACGTGTATCCTATAACACTTCATCCCCAAAAAATACAGGAGAACAGATATCAGAAACTTCTAAACCAAAATCTGAAATAAACACACCCAAAGCTAGCCACTTACTTGAACTTTTTGTCTACCAAGAATAGCCGATTTTGACTTGCAAGATAGCCCAATAAAGACATTGGGCGGTCCAGATGACACATAGTGGTTACCTAGTATTAAGAAGTCAGAAACTACCATCAGAATTGTTCATAACAGTCAAATTAGAGTAAGCAAGAGATATGCGCAATACCTGGCCTCTGACACAATACTTACTGCATCCTCTGTCTCCAGCTATATCATTGAGGTCAAGGCATTGCATCATTTTGATTGGTTATCTAAAGGGAAAGTACCGGTTTTAGAAGCTATGGAGAAGGATCAGAGAGTGAGGTCTCAGTACAGAGGCGGTTCAACCCAGTTGTTGTGTCTGCCAAGTTACAAGCTCTTAGCCCTAAGTATAACTCATTGATGAATCACATCCGAATTCATCTACCAGAGGTAAGTTTGATCAGTGTGAGTCACTAGTGAAGAATACTCTTAACCATTATTAGACTTTACAACTTCTTTTTTTTTTTTTTGCAGTTGTTTCCGAGTTTAAGCAAGGTTGTGTTTCTAGACGATGACATTGTGATTCAAACTGATCTTTCACCACTTTGGGACATTGACATGGATGGGAAAGTTAACGGAGAAGTGGAGACATGTAGAGGAGAAGACAAGTTTGTTATGTCAAAGAAGTTCAAGAGTTACCTTAATTTCTCAAACCCTATCATTGCAAGAAACTTTGACCCTGAGGAGTGTGCTTGGGCTTATGGGATGAATGTTTTCGACCTAGCTGCTTGGAGGAAGACTGACATAAGCTCCACTTACTATCATTGGCTTGACGAGGTTACTCAAGATGACAAGAACCACTATCATGTAGTAGCAATCAACTTAACTTTTGACCATTTTTCATGTTGCAGAACTTAAAGTCAGACCTGAGTTTGTGGCAGCTGGGAACTTTGCCTCCAGGGCCATGTCCAGACCATAGATCCCTTTTGGCATATGCTTGGTCTCGGATACCAAGAGATCACAAGCTTCTCTGATGCTGAAAGTGCTGCTGTTGTTCATTTCAATGGAAGAGCTAAGCCTTGGCTTGATATAGCGTTTCCTTATATACGTCCTCTTTGGGCTAAATAATCAAGAGTTGTCACATTAGACCATAATAATAATCACACATCATAAGTTGGCTAAAACACAGAGAAGAGATTCACAGATTCATTCTTAAGAGCAAACAGTGGTCAAGTTTCCCTCTTACAGATCATGTTTTGCCGTCTCCCCTGTTTCTAAATTGTTTGCACTTTCACACTCTTATGGCGAGAAAGTAAAAGACCCATTCTATGTATTACTGTAAGAACCCATAGTGTGAGAGACGATCTGCCAAACTCTACTTCAATTTACATGTGAATAGATTACATAAGCAATTGGAGTTTACAATGTTAATATCATTGTTCAACACAATAACAGTTACACAAGGATAGCAAAACAAATGGACTTTTCTTTTCTTTTTTCATCAAAAGTAAGAAGCAAACCAGTTGAAGATTTTTTTCTTGAGGTTTCTTTCTAATCCCAGTTTAAGCAACTGGAGGACGAAGGACATGATCCTGAGAAGTATCGACTGAAGCAGGAGGCATGAACTGCCACATGGCAACTCCAGGGTAACTGATGATTGGCACCATCTTGTTTCCAGGAGCTTGGCCTTGCGCAAAAGCAGTTGGCATCATAGGTGGGGCAGGGAAAAAGCTTGGTTGAGGAGGAGCATTCATGGCTTTCAGCTGTTGCTCCAGCTTCTCTTTCTCTGTCTTCAGCCTCTGCTTCTCATCTCTCAGCTCGTTTTTCTCAGTCTGATCAAGATCACAGGGAAACTAGTAAAGCATTCGATGGTTTTATATGGAGAAAAGAGGATTATAAATCGAAGGCAACTTCACCTTTAACTCTTTGATTTTGTCCTGAAGACTTGAATTGGAGTCCTTCAACTTCTGTGCCTCGCCACGTAGCTGTGTCACCATACGGACAGCATCGACCAAGATTGCAGCCTTGTCTGTTTTGGGAGGATGTCCAGGCTCCAACATTACACTCAGTTCCATAAACCTATCACTCATGTAACAAACAAATAAATTTCTATTTCCTACAATTGAAACATAAGAAAAAGAAAGACAAAAATCAAAAAGATTACTTGTCATTCAGCCTATCACGCCGCTGCTTCTCTCTACATGCTTTCGAGCTAGTGGCAGAGGATGATTCACATCTCGCCCTGAGAAAAAGTAATAAACGTTGTCAAGAGAGCCAATACAGATCCCACAACTTGTTAGACTATGAACCCATTTCTCAAAAGTTTTAGGTTGCAGAAAAGTTGCTAGAGTTTTGTGGTTCAGTCAGGCTTTTGAATGAAGGCGCAGCAAGTGGAGTTGAGAAGCTTTTACCTCTTTCTGGAGGCAGGTTCCTTGCTGGCTTCTGAATTTCCAGCAGAGCCATCAACTCCCACGCTGAACCAACAAGAATAAAGATCAAAGCAACTAAGTTATAAACTAATAATAATCAAGGAAGAAGAATTATAAAGAAACATTGACATTGATAAGGTCAAACTAGCCACTGAGATAGAAGGAAGGCCCTATCTATCCACAAAAAAGGAATCTAATTCCCACCTGATAAAGATCAACAAGATTCCCTAATCAAGAAACATGTCAGGCACAAACACACAGTTGACTTTTGGATAGACAAAACACAGGACCTCTCTCCTGAAGACTCAAATGTCTCATTTGAACCAAACTGTAAGGATATCTCTCACCACCACCTAAAGAACCCAACTTTGAGCTTAAAAAGATACTTCCTGATGATAAATCGCGAGAAGCAACTTACGGCCTAATCGACACTGAAAACGACCAGATGCTTCAAACCAAAATCTGGACTTTTGGATAAACAAAAAAACACAATCCCTAGCCTGAAGACTTGATGTCATTTGAATCAACATCTCACCAAGCTAAAGAACCAACCTTTTAAGCTAAAAATTAAATAAACAAACAAACAATAGCTTCTCTATAACCCTATACTCAAACAATCCGACAAGAAAACGACAAAAAAAAAAAACTGAAGTTCTTACAAAACAGCTGACTGAATCAGTTAGAGAGACAAAGAGAAGGTAGCTTAAAGAAACCTGGAGTTTGAAGAGACGAGAATAGGTTGGTGGTGAAGAGGAGGAGGCCAAGAGAAAGCAGGAGGACCACCTTGGATTGTGAAACTTCCGTAGTCTGCGTCATCGATCAGGTCGCATATCCAATTAGCGTTGTTTTCAGGCGACACCATCTCCTCTGATACTCCCTCCACCCGTTTTTTTTTAAAAAAAAAGATATTATTTAAAAAAAAGACAGTGAGGTTTTATCACTCTCGGGGGAGTTGAATCTTCTCGGCGGCTATCAGCGAGATTGTGGAAGGAAAGAGGGAGCTTTTAGCCAAAACGATGATTTAAGCTGTTAATTTTTTTTTAATATTTTTGGTTGTGGAAGGAAACATGGAAGAAGAAACCGTTGGAGGAGAGGAGTTGTGGAATCCAGAGATTATTGTTGCTTTCACGCCCACCTCTTCCTTCTTCTCTTTATTAGTAGAGACGGCTTTCTTGAATTTCAAGGCCCATACTTTTTTATATCGGATATGTACATTTTAATTTCATTTTATTATGTTATGTTCCCTCTATATTTTTTTTGTGTGTGTGTTAGAGCATGGCCATGGCACAAAACCTGTAAAATATTATTGTAAAAGCAAAAAAAAAAATATTAATATTATACTAATGTATTTATTTTCATTCTTCTTTATAAAAACAGAACCGATAAATAAGTAACCCTATGTGCGTCAACTTGTAAAATATATATAAGCTTCCTGCCTTCTCATTGACATCTCAGGTTCATATAAAAAAATATAAGGAACACGAATTTGATAAATAAACCTATGAACTACTTGATCAGGGATATCCACCGACACACCTTTGGTATATCCTCCTAATATATTAATACTATATAAATAGCAAGTTAATTTCTATATATCCATGGTCCTTTCTCTTCTTGTTATATACACACATTTTAAATAAAATACAAAGTATATTACACAGGAGATGGTCGTCTACTCCTTATCATAAGTTTCCACAAAGGAGAAAAGATAGGAACACAACAAAATATATGAAGCTAAGTATATTAAAATTTTGAAGTATTAAGTGTAATATCTTTTCAGTTCTTTATATCCAATATTAAAGGTCAATTTGTCACGTATAGAACGTAACTGCTGATCCAACGTAACTGATTTTAGTTTTGATAAATAATGTATGCACAAGTGACGTTGTGTATCAACTTGATTATTTATGATAAACTTCCAATATTCTGAAATCAAATGTTTAATAATAATTAAATGTTATATATATTTTAGAGTTTGAGTTATTCTTTTCCAAAATACATTGAGCGGTGTGAAGGCATGGATCCTGCCATGGTTCTAGATGCTTTTAGTTCGCCTTATCTGTCTACTGGATGGAAACCAACACGAATTGACTATATTATACAATAGTTTATATTTCTTAGGCCAAATGTTTTCAGTATCTCCAGAATATAAATCATTACGTGTTTAACGAACGAATCAACATTTTGTAAACGTGAGAACATTAGGAATCATGTATGTATGTCGACAAAATGGTAGAGATGTATGCAAAGTCTTTCAACATTTTGTGTTCTTAGCAATTTAACCTTTCATATCCATTTTTAAGTGATAGTTATTAGATAGGTGATTGCAAATTTGCAATTCAACATTTCGTATCTTCTTTTTTTTTTTTTAAGTTTCCTCACCCTCTCATTATCTAGCTGTTTAAAGCTCTTCTTGTGCGTGTCCTAGCTCTTATGTGAGACCGGCGCTTGTGCCTTTTCAACAGCAAGTCTTGCTTCGTTCTCTTTACCAAGAGAATCATTTCGCAGCCTAAAGCAGAATATACTGAATTAATTAAAATATGAGATAGACATCATAGACATAAGTATTTAACTTAAACTGCCACTGCTTACCAACTTCTCCAGTTGTTCCTTGGCAAGTTGCTGTTGAACAGATTCAACATTCATTATATCAGTTCTTCAATTATCATATTCAGCTCCCGTTCCTTATTTTTCAAGCTAACACAAAATTGCAATAACATAAAGTTCAAATTCCAAAACTTCGAATGAAATATCCAACAACTAAACTCTAGTTTTAATAACGCACCGTATCAGCGCAATGCTTCTCATTAAATTCTGTTGCTTCTCATATAATATTTCATGATATGAAGGTAATCCCACATGTCTTATTAGTTCCATGCATTGCAAATATATTATATTTGATCAAGATCCAAAAAATCCACAAGTAGAGATTTTCTGAGTGGTTCTTTGTCTGCATATCTTGCATCAGATCCAATCAAACCAACATTGATTATATAGCATTTAAAGCAGTCAATCTATGTAATACGCAGAGCATTAGTAAGAAGTGATCTGAGAGAATACCTAACAAGAGCAGAATCTGCAACGAAAATGTGAATACTTCTTCTTCTTCACAGGAGACTGAAATTAAAGATTTTTATAGCTTTATTTTTGTTCCTTTTCTTGGTGTGTGCGTTTTTGTTGAACAGAGGATATGAGCCACTGACAGAGAATGGAGAATCTATAGAGAAGAAAATGAAAATAATTATGATGCCAAAACAAAGAGAAAATAAGAGTATTTCATTTTGTTAATATCTGAAAACTGAATAAAAATTAAGAAAAAGAGGAGTTTGGTCGTGCAAAGATCTATTTAAACGACGACGTTACGTGTATAAAAGTGAGTTTTGACGCGCGATAAATATTTGCAATGCATGGAACTAATAAGACATGTGGGATTTTACCTTCATAACATGAAATATTACACGAGTTTCAAACGAAAGGCACCAATATGACAAATATGCTTTAATTTTGTTTCAAAATTTGCATGCATAAATAAAAAAAGATTAAGAGATTGTTATTTATTCCTAAGTGGCATTAACTCTCATGTAGACTATTATTACTCGTTGTTTATATAAAATTAAATCGAGAAAAACAAATAATTCCAAGAATATTAATAACTCCGCGTAATTCTCGCGTGTCTGTGTTCTGGGAGAAAAGAAGAGGCACACTCTCGTTCAGGGAAATTGAAAGACAAAAAAACTTCAAATTTCTCCCTGAAATTTTCTGGTCGACTTTTCTCGGAAAAAAGGTCGAAACTTTTTTTGGTCAAAATTTGGTCTGATAGAGCGCATCGACAACAATCGCATTACGGTTTTTAACGTCAATTCGGATCTTCCCCCGCAATTATTAAACACCAAAAACTCATGTCCTTTTGTGCTGTCTCGCAACGTGTATTCTCACCTGAAGGCATTGTTTGAAGCTTTATTTGAATTCACGTAAAATTGCATCGAACCCAGCTCCCAAAATTTTTGATAAAGTTTTGATCTTGATCTAAGGGTCTGCATTATGTTGAGCATTTTGATCTAAAAGCCTTGGCCTTTTTGGGGTAGCTGATGAAATGAGAAGCAATATATATGCTTGGAATGATGCTAGGAGGAGGAATGTGTAATCAGAATCGGTCTCGTTTGGTTCTCTGCTTGGTTCTGCTCTCTGGGTTCTTCTTGGCGATAGCCTTTGAAGAGAGTTCAGAAAAAGATGAGATTTTTCTTAGCCAATTCATGGCTCCATCAACAGGGCATGTCAATGAACAAATGGTATAAAGATTGTCTTTTTTGCTTCTTTTCTTACATCATAACTAACTGTCATGTCTGATGGAATTTATCTGTTAGGTTTCAAAATTGCGTAGGACATTTACTTGTTTCTTGCTTAAGTTTTGGTTTTAGATGCCAAGATTTCATTTTTTTTTTGGTTTTGTTTAATGTCCCCTAAGTACCTGAAGATCATCTCTGAACGCTTAATAATATTATGGGCTATGGTATGCTTTTCATTTCAGTTTTGTAGCTTTTAAAGTTGTGTGTCTCTTGGCAGGTAGAAACATTATGGGTGCAACAATGTTGGCAAGATCCAGATTGTGTGAAGGAAGCTGTCGCAGTATTCAATTTATGTTTTCCAGGATCAAAGAATAACTTGGAGGAGCTATTTGGTTTCATCCCTTCCCATCTGAAGCAGACCCTTCTTGGTTGTATCCAACAACAAAAAGAGTTGAATGGTCATAACCTCAACCATCTCAAGCTCTTACCATCTATCCTTGATAATACTCCCAGGAGATCTCTAGCTTCTAAATCGCCACCTCCTGCAAAGCGAAAAGAGGACCATCAGAAGACAATCATCATCGCTTGTGTTGCCACTGCTGTCTTTACGTTCTTGCTTGCTGCTTGCCTCTTTTTGTGTTGTACCAAAGTTTGTGGAAAAGGTTCAGGAGGCAGGATCAATGATGAAAGGCCTCTTCTTAGTTTAAGCAGTAACGAGTACTCTCTTGGTAATAAATACCAACTCTCTACTTTCTAATCTAATCTTGAGTATATAGTTAACATCAATATGCTTTCAGGCTCCTCTAACAACTATGGTGGTTCTGGCAAAGGTCATCAGTCTTTTAATGGAAATAACTCGGAAAATTTTGTTACATTAGAGGAAAGGATGTCACAAGACGGGATGTTTAATAGTTTCAACAGCAGTCATGGGATTCCACCGTTGAAGTCTCCACCTGGAAGAAAATCTTCTAAAATTTCATGGAAGCCTCCTTCTGGCAAAAAAGTGGAGCCACTTCCACATGAACCACCCAAGTTTCTTAAGGTGTCATCTTCAAAAAAGTCTTCTCCTGCTCCACCACCGCCCATGCCGCCTTCTGCTGGTGGTCCAAGACCACCTCCTCCACCTGGTTCTGGTGGTGGGCCTAAGCCACCTCCTCCTCCTGGACCAAAAGGACCACGTCCACCTCCACCGATGATGAGCCGTGGCCCGAAAGCTCCTCCATTGTCTTCTGGGCCAGCAAGTTCAGGAGATGATGATGCTCCCAAAACAAAGTTGAAGCCGTTTTTCTGGGATAAAGTGCAAGCAAACCCGGAACAGGCAATGGTTTGGAATGATATAAGATCAGGATCTTTCCAGTAAGTCATGTCTTTGGAGTTGTTAGCTCTTTTAAAAACAAAATCCTTTTGATGTTTTAGTACTTATTTTCTTATGCTTTTTTCAGGTTCAATGAGGAGATGATAGAGTCGTTATTTGGATATGCAGCTGCAGACAAGAACAAAAACGACAAGAAGGGAGGCTCACAAGCTGCTATACCTCAGTTTATTCAGATTCTTGAACCAAAGAAAGGACAAAACCTATCGATTCTCTTGCGTGCTTTGAACGCAACAACTGAAGAAGTGTGTGATGCACTTCTTGAAGGTAAATCTTTTTCTATCTTTTTTTCTCCTATGCGTTTCTCTAACACACACCTCATGTCGAATCAGGAAATGAGCTTCCTGTAGAATTCATTCAAACTCTGTTAAAGATGGCACCAACACCAGAAGAAGAACTAAAGCTTAGGTTATACTCTGGTGAAATAGCTCAGCTGGGAACAGCTGAACGCTTCCTGAAAGCAGTAGTTGATATCCCTTTTGCTTTCAAGCGTCTTGAGGCACTTCTCTTTATGTGTACACTCCATGAAGAAATGGCCTTTGTTAAAGAATCCTTTCAGACATTAGAGATTGCTTGTCAAGAACTCAAAGGAAGTCGCCTGTTCCTGAAGCTCTTAGAAGCTGTTCTCAAGACCGGAAACCGAATGAACGATGGTACATTCAGAGGTGCTGCTCAAGCATTCAAGCTAGACACTCTTTTGAAATTAGCAGACGTGAAGGGCACAGATGGCAAGACAACTCTCCTCCACTTCGTTGTCCAAGAGATAATAAGAACCGAAGGGAGGAGAGCTGCGCGTACCATCAGAGAGAGCCAAAGCTTCTCCAGCGTCAAAACAGAGGATCTAATGGCAGAGGAAACCACTGAGGAGATGGAAGAGAATTACCGCGGTCTCGGACTTCAGAAAGTCTCAGGCCTTAGCAGTGAGCTTGAACATGTGAAGAAGTCTGCAAACGTGGACGCTGATAGCTTGACAGGGACTGTTCTCAAGATGGGACACTCCTTGTCCAAAGCTAGAGATTTTGTTAACTCGGAGATGAAGAGTTCGGAAGAGGAGAGTGGGTTTAGGGAAGCTCTTGAGGATTTCATTCAGAATGCTGAAGGAAGCATTATGTCGATTCTTGAGGAAGAGAAGAGGATCATGGCGTTGGTGAAGAGTACAGGAGATTATTTTCATGGGAAGGCAGGGAAAGATGAAGGGTTGCGTTTGTTTGTGATTGTGCGTGATTTCTTGATAATCTTGGATAAGTCTTGTAAAGAAGTTAGGGAAGCAAAAGGCAAACAAGTGAAGATGGCGAGGAAACAGGGGTCAACAGCCTCAGCAGCTTCTGAAATTCCGAGAACGCCTTCGTTAGATCCTAGAGAGAAGCTGTTTCCAGCTATTACTGAGAGACGTGTGGATCAGTCTAGTTCAGATTCAGACTAAAAGAAAGTATAGTAATCTTGGGTTTTGTTACTTGTGTTAGGACATGCGGTTTTGCTGAGAGCTTCTGATGGTATTTTCTTCTGTTGGGAGTGGAATGGCATTAACTTGCAGAGATGTCAGGTTTTAGTAACTAATGATTAGATGAACAATGACAAAAGAGTTTTTGAGGTAAATAGCTGCAGGGAGTCGTTAACTTCGGATCTACTGACATTCTCAGCCTTAATTTTAGAAACACACATTTTTCATTTTTCTTCTTCTTGAATCTTGTTGGAAATAGAAGCGTCATCCTTATGTGTATGCTTTTGTAACATAACCATTTAATTACATTATTTATTCACTTTTGAACTGAAACTAAACCAGTCCATTTTTTCTTAAAAAATAGTACAAAGTTTCTTTTTGAAGATAGACGACCTGTGACTTCATTGATTTGTTAAAAACATAGCCTAAACAAGGGTTGAATAAATAAACAGAATCCCAAAATTCAACCTAAACCCGATCCGATAAAAATGAATCTGAGCCGATCTGAATCGAACGTAAATACGGATCTTATTTTATGATATTTTGGGTTTTGAGTTTTACCCGAATCCAAATGGATATAAAAAAAAAATCGATCTAAACCCCCAAAAAGAGCTAGTACCAATTCTCATCTCAATTCCTAATATGAATCCAAAATACACTTAGATATTATTGAATACCTGAGATACCTATTTATTTTATGAAATAATTAATTCAAATATTTAGTCTAAGATATATTTTTGGTAATTGGTCAATATTAGTGTTTTTATGTTTTAGCAGTTGTATTTAAAGCTCAATTATTAATAAGTTTGACTCACAAGTTTAAACAATGTCATTTTTAAGTTTAAATAGTATTTTTTCATTTATAGAGTTGCTATTTGTTAACTTAAATTAGTTTACATTTTTTTTATATATGGTTCTTGTTTGTACAAAGTTTTGGTTTGTCATGAATGATATATGTATAATGTTGTCATGTATAGTTCTATGACGAGTCTTGTTGGTTGATAGACGAGTTTCTCAAAACTAGTTTTGGAGGACAACAATATGGTTTTGAAAGCTATGTACAATGAAAATATTGGAAATATAGTTCGTGTATTTTATTAGCAATTCTTTTCATAATTTACACATATGTTTAATTAAACACTAACGTCGACGCATTTCAGTTAAATATAATTAACACCGTCTAAAAAGAGGTGTAAAATCTACAAATTCAAAAAATTTATATATTTTATAAGTAACAAAAATTAGTTAGTGTATTAAAGGAAGATCCAAAATAGTTCATGTATTTTATTAGCAAATGGAAATTAGTCCGTGTATTTTTAAGAAATTTAATATGTTAATTTATAAATTTGTGTTGGAAAATTATTGAACCTTCATATTTTAATTTTAAAATTTGCATTGAAAAAATCGCACATTAGAAATTTTATGTATATCATATGAGTATGAATTCCAAATATTAAATATTTATATTAAAATATATGATATATCTATGTCCATTACATTAAAATTTAGTGATATACTATATTAAATAAATAAAATAATTATGTTGATTTATTTACCAAACAAATATCATAATAAACAAGAAGTATTATTTTGATTTATGTACTTATTCTAATTTAATTATATACATAATACCTAAATAAACACAAATAAATAATAATATACATAATTTATTTTTATATAAAACTTTCATTACGTGCAATTGCGTAGAATCTTAATCTAATTTTATTAGTAAATGCAAATTAGTATGTGTAGTTTGTATCCTAGTGGGGCTCACTGATTGATGAGAATTCTGAGTGGTGATGACTTTTAGAGTCGAGTCAATACTCAGAAAAAGTCATGTTAATTAACATGTTAATTTATATTAGAATATATGATATATCTATGTCCATTACATTAAAATTTAGTGATATACTATATTAAATAAATAAAATAATTATGTTGATTTATTTACCAAAAAAATATCATAATAAACAAGAAATATTATTTTGATTTATGTACTTATTCTAATTTAATTATATACATAATACCTAAATAAACACAAATAAATAATAATATACTTAATTTATTTTTATATAAAACTTTCATTATGTGCAATTGCGTAGAATCTTAATCTAATTTTATTAGTAAATGCAAATTAGTATGTGTAGTTTGTATCCTAGTGGGGCTCACTGATTGATGAGAATTCTGAGTGGTGATGACTTTTAGAGTCGAGTCAATACTCAGAAAAAGTCATGTTAATTAACATGTTAATAAAGACAATGCTTCGACGCAGTTTCCACCATTGGCGAATCTAGAAAATATATTGATTGGGGGCAAATTTTTTTGATGTGTATTAAAAATTTTTCGTTTCATATATTTTTAATAAGAATAACATTTAGAAGAAAAAATAAACTAAATAAATCAATGTAAAAAGGGTATATGGGGATTTGAAGCCAGGTTTAGTGGGGGCATAGGGAGAGATTTAGCCAACTAAGTTGAAAGATATCTGTATACTCAAATGCAAATAAATTTAGTTGTAATTATTGTGGGGCAATTGCCACCTTCTTGTAATACGTAGATTCGCCCATGGTTTCCACAAAAGAGCTACAATTGCCATGTTCGTTTTTGAGACGCAGCCTCAACGTCCGGCGGCAATAAAATACAAAGGATTTAACAAGAAGTTAGATCAGAGAGTTAAAAGATAACAATATTTAAGACGCAGAGTTAACGTCCAGACGCTAATATTTACAGCGTCAACGAAAACCTGGCCGAAATCAGTTGCGACAGTCGCCCGTGGCAACTTTGTAAAGACGCGGCGATTAAATTTCTTCACTTTGTTTGTTATTTTTTGGTCTTCAACGCTGACGCAGCGTTAAAGAAACGAATATTGATATGATTTCGATGGTAGAAAATAACCAGACAAATCATACAAAACTACAATTTATATAATGATGATTATAAACGTTTAGTATCCCTATTAGTTTGATGAACGTACTAATCATCTCTATTCAAATTTAAGAAATCGTCTCTTTTTAAAATATTTGGTCATTAGCTGGGAAGTACCTCTACGGGAATGTGATACATGGAAAGCAATCATTAAGCCACATCATCAGGCAAATGAGACTAGGAAGTGAAATATTTTATAAAATATTTTTAAACAAATATTTTTGTAATTTTTTAGATAGTAACAAAAAAATATATAAATATATTTTATGATTTGATAAATTAAATGTGTAAAACATTTATTTTTTACAATTCAAATATAATATATATTTCTAAAATTTCAAAATTAAATATCTATATATTATGCATGTTATATAAATTAATGTAAAATATACAAAATTATATATGTATATATATATATATATGTATATTCAAAAAATAATGAATATCTATTCAAATAAAATTTCCTAATCATTTGTCATTCTTAGCTATGTGGTGTAAGGTGTTTTTCTTCAGCTATGTTTTATGTTGATTCTATCTCTCCAATTTGACTATCTAAACCGAAAAGTTTAGTTACTTAGTTTAACCATTGTTGTCAACAACAAAAAATAAAAAAGACCACTCAACTCTTAATGGCAAGATCAATCAAAAGACAACCGACGAATATGTAAGTCAAATAAGCTTTTGAGTTACGATAATGGACTAATTAGATGAGTAGATATTGGTCAATGATAGTAAGACACTTATCTTATGGTCAGGATAACTAATTTAAACTAATCCAATTTATAATAGTACTTTTATCATAATTATTATATTAACATTAAATTTCATTGACCAATCATAAAATAACATACATTCTTCTCAAATCTTAACTGTCACTAAGTATCTTAAACATCACATTCCTTTGATTCAGCATATTAAGAACTTATAAGATTCATTTAAGAATTTTATTAGATATCTTTTGGACATAAAATCACTTAAGCTATAGACCAACTTGGCATAATTTAATCCCACATTAAACCCCATTATAAGCAAGGCTTCTTGTCAACCAAAGCCTAAGCATCATATTCCAACGCTTCAGCATCATAGTCTATTTTTTTTTTTATAACACTGAGACGTAAAAATATTCGAGACAGCACAAAGAGATAGAGAATCATAAGAGAAAAGGAGATGACAGTAGACATCAAAATAACAAGGAGAAAGAATTTCACCCAACCGATAATCGCTGAGCCTCCTGAGCGAGTAGATGGTGTAACCATACGGGAGCATTGCTGGCAATGTAAGATTGGTGGCGCTGATCGCGAGTGACACTTATAGCAATAGCGTCAGCAGCTTCATTCCGTTCTTGGAGTGCGTGATCTAGACTCCAGAGAGCAATCTTGGATAGCAGAAAGCAGACATTGTGGCGGACAAGGCTGAGACTCAGATGGTTATCTGGATTACTGAAAACATCGTGGAGCTCCTCGGAAGATGTCTCAAAAATAATTTTCGAGAAATGCAAGTTGTGGATGCATTCCACAGCCCATAAAAGAGCCCATAGCTCAGCCTCTGCTTGTGTACGCATATAAGAATAAGCACGCCGACTATGCATGAGTGTACAGCCATTTTCATCCCGTAGGATCCAAGAAGCACCACTAATGCCATTCGGACGTAACCATGAAGATCCAACATTACATTTTAGGTAACCATGGGGAGGTTTTTTCCATCTAATCATTGCTGGCATCATAGTCTATTTAACCCAAAATTTCAAAAAAAATTGCTTAATAAAAGTCATGGATACATAAGGGGTTATCATCATTACTATTCATGTTAAAAGAAAAGTAGAAGAGATGAAACTAAGAAAAAAACTTAAGTAGAAATAAGAACTACAAGAACTTAGAGTTTAAAATCAAAAGAAAACTATGCTTATATATCTTAGTTTTTGTTGTATAAAATGCATATATATAGGATATAAGCACGAAAGTCGACCAAAAAAATTGGATAAAAATGACTGGTAAAATCTGGTCGATACGGATTTTTTTTACGGTGGCACTTGCACAAAATCAGCATACACGCTGTCGTGGCTCCTGGAATTTCCAGGCTTCTTCGAATACTTTTTCTTTGGCAGATTTGTAATAAGTCTAGTAAATTGATCATAATTCTTCAAATATAACATCAAATGACTTGAAACCACATTCATTTAAATGATCATTTATGATCTTTATACGAGTCTATCTTTCAGACATAGTTATGGATTCTATTTTTTTTTTCTCATCATCCTTTATACCTTTTTGTACTTTTCTAACTCATTTCTCTTCCATTACAGGTATTTAATAGTTTATACCTCCAAAAAAAATCTAGAAAGACTCAAAGACGAAGGAAAAGGTAGGAATTGTAGTCTAACTACAATATGAATAAATGTGAAAATGAATGCAAAATGATAATGTAACATTTCAGTTTGTGATATGTGGAAGTATACTTGTTTTTCAGGATATATTTAGAAATAACTCAAGAATTAAATGTGTTTGAATTGGAGTAGTTAAATGATAAAACATACATCAGAAAGTTGTTTGTGATATCGTGTGAGTGAAACTAAAATACGAGAAAAATCAACATATCAACCGTTGTGCGGGATAAGATCATGTTCAGGGAGCGGATGCGGAAAAATTAATTAATAGTCATGGATGGTTGGGCATTACAGAAAGTTTCAAACAATAACAAATTACACAATACATTTAAGTACCCAAAAATTATTAAATATTCACAAATCAATAATAATTATGTCATGGCATAAGATATCGGGTAGGAATTTTTTAACAAACGGATTATTGAAAGAAAAAAATCAATGCATTTTGAAGGGCCAGTGTAAATTAATTACTTCATTTCTTTTATATTATACGTAGTTTAAGAAAAAAATTGTTTGTGTCAAAATAGAAATAGTTTATGTATTGTTTGATAATTTTATTTATTAGGTATAGTGTGACTAATCAAATAAAATAGACAGATTTATTATTGATTTAATTATATCTAATTTATATATCAAATGCTACTTTAAAATATAATAATAATCTTTGTGTATTATCTAAAACTATCTACATAATAAACCATTGTGTATTATCGTTAATTGCAAAACGAGCCTATGAAGAAGAATCAACATGGTTTGATACTTTTTCATGTAAGAATGATGGTAGTAGTGATGCTAATGAGACGGATCAGAGAGGATGGAAAAAACCACCACATGGATTCCTTAAATGTAATGTTGGATCCTCATGGTTAAATTCGAGCCATCTTTCTGGTGCTTCATGGATTCTACGTGATGAACATGGGTCTACAATCATGCACAGTCGTCGATCTTACTCGTGCATGCGTACAGTAGTTGAAGCAGAGTTATGGTCTCTTTTCTGGGCAGTGGAATGTATGCATAATCTTCATTTCTCTAATATAATCTTCGAAACAGCGTCTGAAAGCCTTCATGGAGTTATCACAAATCCAGATAACAACAATATCTTCAGCCATATTCGCCACAATATCCGCTTTCTTCTCACACGAATAGATTGTTGGAGTGTTGACCACGTTCGTCCCGACCGCAACGACTCCGCAACGTCAATTGCGGTGAGTGTCACTCGAGATCTGCGCCACCAATCTTACATCGCTCAAGGAGGTCCAGTTTGGCTCCATCATCTACTTGCTTTGGAGGCTCAAGTGTAGAAGGTTGTGGTGAGAGTTCCTAATCTTTTCTTTCTTCGTGTCTACTGACACCTATCTTTTTCCTGTTTTCTTTCTATGTTATGCCTCCTTGTAAGCTCGAACTAATTCCAGTGTTATAAAATAAAATAAAAAAAAATAAACCATTAGGAGTTTTTTAGTTAATTGACTTCCATACCCATTAAAAGACCTTAATTAAAAAACTACACATGATTTGATATTAATATTTTTTCTCCAATTTTACCTTTTTTTTGTCATCTGTTAGATTAATATTCAACCTTAAACAAGGGTTACAACCAAAGCCGGCAAGACAAGATCTTCCGGAGCAAGAAGCCAGCGTAGTAAACATACTACCCGGAGCCAAAGATGAAAAACATAGAAAGCAAATAACAACACATAAACTTGAAAACACAGACACTAAAAGCAGAGATAATAAACACCTAGATCAGACTCAAATCCATTCATAGAAGACACAATCCAAATTGTTAGCTAATAGATAACCGTAGCTGTAGACTGCGCCTCCTCCTATGCGCCTGCACTCCGTCGACTTCCTCCAATTCCAACTTAAACTCTGCCATTGAACCTTGAAAGGACTCACCACACGCTTTCAACGCGCCTCCAATTTTACCTTTATTCCATGCATTCCAACGCCAATTTTACCTGCAACATTACGTAGAGTTTACGGTGTGTAGAATAGGTATGTAAGACTTTGAGTCAGACAAGTGGTCCTATTTGTATCCTACCTCTCTCTCTTATCCTATCTCCTAAATCTTTATCATCTTCTTTCCATCTTTCCTCTCTCCTCTCACTTATGAATTATATTCTTTCTTTCTCAATTTCATTCTCTAATTATTATTTCAAATTTTACAAATCTACTTCTAAACTCTCTTTGAAATTTTCTCATATTCTCCATCGTCTTTTAATTATTTTCTAAAAATCAATGTTAGGCAAGTAAACCAACTCAGTGATTTGAGTTTCATATCAACTAAATTATAATAATTAAATTATCGCTATTAAAATTGTTAGAGGTATAATAGCGAATTTTAATGTATTACATTCATAAATCGCCTGTAACAAATCATTACATGTTCTAATGAAAAATAACAAGAGGCATAACAACTAATATATTTATTACCATGTAAAAAAGAATATTACATCTATATAAACATGTATGTTTATCATATGTGTTGTATGAGAAACTTCAGCTAATACCTATGTTAACAGGTAATACATATTTTAAATGATACATCAATTATTAATAACCTACAATAACGATTGCTATAGGTTACATGTGATGTTTTATTCGTTAACTTAAATTTTAGTAACTAAATTATTTGTTACATGATAAATTATATACTAGACTGATTACTAATACTGAATTATTAAGAATATATCACCTAACTTGGGTATTGTAACATATACTATAGTGTTAACTTTTTTACATGTATCATATTCTATAAATATATGGTAGTATATCATACCAAAAAATTGTAACACATGTGTGCTTACTGTGAATCAACGACAAATGAGAATTACTAACATACATCATCAATAGAATTACTATTATGAATTTCGCTTGTTTTATCAAAATGTTGTGTTAAATCATTTTGGATTTTGTTGGAATATCAAGAAATTGATATCCAAAATTTTATGTATCTTGATATAAAGATGATGGATCAACAAATATACTCAAAGAAAGAGAAATAAATGAAGAAAAGAGAAATGAAGAAAATTAGAAAAGAAGAAAAAAAATGAGATTAAGAAGAAAGATAAGAAATAGAATGTAGGGAAAAAATGGTAGGGGAGAGAGACTTAGAATAAGTTGCATGGGAAAAGAGATGTAAGGCCATATTTACTGTGGAGTTTTTAGTTGAGAATTTTAATTTCATTTAAGATATGTTTTTTAATTTTTAACTAAGAATCAATTCTTAAATAAGAGATATAATGTAAAAAAAATTGTCATGAATTCAATGCTCCCAATAAACATGCCTAAGAAGAATGTAAAGGGTGAATCACTAATGTGGATCTCCAGTGGTAGGCTAATTTTCCCTCTCTTTTTTTAGCCTAGTGGGGCTCACTGATTAATGACAAATTTTAGTGGTTTCTCTCTATTGGGGGCTAGTTCTTCGACAAAAAAATAATATAAGAAAATAGAAAGTTGAAAGAAAGAGAAAGAACCAGTTTGTCGACTCCAGAACCTTTTTTGTCACACGTCTGATTTTCAGTGGTTTTATTTTACTTTCCAACTTTAAGTTGAATTATTTCATAAAGTTACAGTAAAATACCTTAAACTCGAGAAACCCAATTATTGTTTCTCACCGATTGGTCTGCTCTCAATCAATCGACTCAATCCATACCCCAATAAACTTAATGAAAGTAGGTTGGACTAGTTTGTTTCTGAAATACTGATCCTTCTAGTCAATTTCTTTGTTTGCAAGTATGGATTCAAGATTGCTATGGGTTGCGCAATCGGGTAGCGTCAATGCCTTATATTCTCTTATTCAAAAGGATCCATGTATTCTTGAGAATATTGATCTTTTACCTTTCATTCACACACCTCTCCATGAAGCTTCATCAACTGGCAAGATAGATTTGGCGATGGAACTGATGATTCTAAAGCCAACTTTTGCAAAGAAGCTAAACGCCGATGGGTTTACTCCATTACATCTCGCCGTGGAAAACCACCAAGTTGAGTTAGCACTAGAGCTAGTCAAGTTTGACCCAGCTCTTGTTCGTATTCGTGGTAGAGGAGGTATATGCTTCGCAAAATCTTAGTTCTTGCTTATTCTCTAACAAAAAAAAAATCTCGAACATATAACATAAATTTATTTACTTATTAATGAGGTATTCGAATATTTTAATCAGTTTTAAATATCTCATAAGAATAGGTATGACGCCATGGCATCTTGTGGCAAAAAAGGGGGACGTGGATCTTCTTACAGAGTTTCTCTTGGCATGTCCTGAATGTATTAAAGATGCGAATGTAAATGGAGAAACTGCTTTACACATCGCGGTCATCAACGATAGATACCAAGAACTCAAAGTTCTCCGAGGGTGGATGCAAAGAATGCGCAAAAGTGACGCCTCATCCACCGAGATTCACGTTCTGAACAAGCGTGATCGTGAAGGCAACACGGCCTTGCACTTAGCGGCCTATAAGAATAACCACCAGGTATGTTCTTACCCTTTCTTTTTTTTTAACTCGTCCAATAGGTTGATCCAATTTATTTTGCTAAATAATGCGAAGATATTTATTAAGTTGATTGATCTGTGAATTTTGTTAGGCCCAATAACTTATTGATTTGGTATGTAATCTACACTACTAATGATAGACCTTAAATTCACACACTCATATTCTTTGAATTATGTTGTTCTAGTAGTCTAATATATATGCAATATGCTTGGTCGTTAAATATTTATATAAATGTATATATACAGGCAGTTAAACAACTGTTAAAATGCATGTCACTGAACCGTAACATCCAGAACAAAAATGGTATGACAGCCCTAGATGCCTTACGAGTCAACGGACCGCACATGAACAAAGAAACAGAGAAACTAATACAAATATCTGGTGGTAAGAGCGGGATGTCTCTATCCAGGGTTAAGACAACGTCTGTCTTCCTAAGCAAACCAGTCACTTTCTGGGAATATTGCTTTACGGGAATGGCACGTTACAGGAGTCGCATGTCAGATGGAACACGGAACTCTCTTCTAGTAATAACAGCTCTGATCATCACAGCTACTTATCAAACCGCGGCCCAACCGCAAGATAATGACAAGCTCCAGTACCTAAGTTTTGAAGATGCCATATTAAAGATCGTGGTACTATGGGGATTCAATACAATGGCCTTTTTCTTGGCTATTTCCTTGACATTCATACTGTTACCAATTGGCAGAGCATATACTTGGTGGTATATCTTCATAATGGGGCCTCTCCTCTGCTCATATTCAATTTTGTCGTACCAGACGTCTACCGTTACAATACTCATACTGCTGGTTGTCTTCGTATTTCTGCTGGTTGTCTTCGTATTTCTCATATATCTACTTGTATTCTACGTGAAGTGGAAGCGGACTATGCGGAAAAAAGTACCAAAACCTAGAATCAAGCTGATTTCTGAAGGCTTAGAGGCCATGTTCTAGCCAGTTGTACTATTACAAGATCCCGAATGTGAGCTGATTATCCAAAGCATGTAGCATGGTTGAAGTGTTTGTTGTAAACCTTTGATCGTTATAAGCATATTCAGTAGCTTTGTACAAATGCACACGTTTTGTAAAAAATACTAGATGTAAAAATTATAATCTTTTGAATAAGGCACATGTTTAAGGATCATTTTAAGCTAAATTTTAACGAAGCAAAAATGTGGTAGAAAGAGGATTTAATACATCCATATGTGATACATGAAGAGGGAAGATGCTAAGATATGGAGGCAACAGAAAACTTGAGTTGTTTCTTTATCCATTGCTCAATTGTGTCGATAAGTTCCCCAGTTTTGATAAGATATCTTACCTTCTGTCCACCTTCAAGGACCTTTTGACCCACCCGGCTTACCACCTCCTTTTCTTTTGAATACAACATCACATTCGAGCTGTGGATTTGTGCTTTGATCTGGGAAAACAGAATACATTTTGCAAAATCTTTAATCTTCAGTCATAATCAATCTAATTTGGCAAAAGACAAAGTGAAAGATTCGTTTGAGACTGACCTTAAGAATTTGGCCATGTTCTCCCTCTTCTCGACTCTTCATGTCTTTGGTCTTGAGGTTAACATCTTTGATGACAATGGTGCTGTTGTGGGTAAAGATCTTAGTGACTTCTCCAATTTTTGCCCTTGTCTCGTCCAGATATAACTTTCACGTGTCACCACACTTGACATGCAATAGAAAGACTGTTTGGTTTGCATTTCTTCCGTTCCCAAACGCTTAAGCTGAAACTAAAAACGCAACAGTAATACTAATGATGCAATTCAAAAGCTTAAGAAATTTTCTTTTGGTTCAAAACTAATGTACTATACCAACGAAAAAATTCAGGATGGTGAGGATCTTGAGTACTAACCTTTGCAAAAACAAGACATGGGTTGTGGGAGGGTGCCTGCAATGAGTACAAAAGAAAAACAGAGTAATGAGTAACCCATGCAACTGCACACACTTTATGGGAGGGCTTGATGTTGGGGTTAAACTAAATATTGTATAATACCCCCAATATACAGTATACTTTTGTATTTAAATTTTTGGTTTATGTTTTCTTTGTATTGAACTCATTCAATTTTTCGGTAAGTTTAACGGTTTTCGTTCTCCCAAAAAGTGGAATTAGATTTTTTTTAAAATACAAAATTACGTATCCATAACCAATATTCCAAAAAAAAAACAAATAGTTGTGTTCCTTACATGTTTCTTCATTTTTTAAACGTTGAATTACAACCAAAAAAAGACTTTCATTCACAAAAGAAAAAAGATTAGACAACCTACTATGACCCAAATTTCAGTTCCCATCAACATCAGTGATCAGTGTATTCCTCCTAACCAAATCTACAAATCATCCTAAAACCCCCACCGAAAAATTAAATAAAATTCAATAAAAATATAGTATAATTATAACCTTAAAACACATTTCGGTTTTAACAATAGTCTTCAAGTGTACTGTCCACGGAGTTATCTCTCCTGTGATTTTCTGACAGAACTGATCTATTTCCCGTCTGCTCACCACCACACTCTACCGTCGGAGGAAGTGGAGAAGGCGAGAGAGACTTCTGCTTCTGACGTTTTCTTGAATGTCTCACCTTGACAACACGTGTCAAAACCTGCACAACATCCCTCATGTTGGGACGTTTCCTCGGTGCACGAGAGATGCATTTATATGCAAACGCTGAGACTTCATTCACTTCTTGTAGATCAAATTTCCCATCTAATCTCGAATCCACAATCTCTTCCCACCCAACCTTCTCCTCTGCATTCATAGCCGCCTAGTTTTCATCAAAAGAAAACGTTGTTTTTAAATGTAACTCTTCAAAGATGTAAGGATAAGGTTGGTTTTTATTTTACCAGCTCAACGTATTCCATTAGACCTTGTTGAGGGTTTCTTGCAGCTATAAGCTCAAAAAGCAAAACCCCGAATCCATAAACATCGCTTTTCTTGGTGAATGTTCTTGTGGAAATGTACTCTGGGTCGAGATAACCAAACGTTCCTCTGATGTTAGCAGCATGTTTGTCTACCATTTCTTCTCTAGACAGACCAAAGTCAGCCACCTGTGAAGTTAAAAAAGCCAATCAAAATGAGGGTTTCTTGAGGAAAAGAGATCTTAAATGGGACAAAGAAGATGATTTACTCGAGCTCGCATGGCTTGGTCTAACAAAATGTTGGAAGATTTGATATCTCTGTGGATTACAGGAGGAACAGCCTGGAAAAAGAAAGGTTGAATATAACATAGTTTTTCAAGCTTGTTTCTAAAGAGATCTAATAGAATTGTTAATGGTTTCAGCATATATAATTAGCTTACCCCATCATGAAGATACTCTAGACCGCGTGCCACGTCTAAAGCAATGTATACTCTCAAATCCCAGCTCAACGGCTCATGTTTTTCACCTGTATCAAGAAACCAATGTGTACGAAATGTCATCAAATTAGTGAATTCGAATCCATGTTAGGTAATAGAGGTGCGTGACTAGCGAATAGTTATATATTGCATCCATTTACTGACTATATAATCTAGAGAAGATGCTTACTGTATAAGTGAGAAGCTAAGCTTCCTTTACTCATGTAAACATAAATAAGCATGTGCTGGCCTTTCTCTGCACAATAGCCGATCAAGTTCACTAGGTTACGGTGATGCAACCTTCCCAATAACATAACCTGAAAGAAAACAATGACAGTGACCATGTTTAGGAATAATCTGAAGAAGAAAATAATAACTAAATATGCCAGTTACAAAAATAGCCTGTTTTAAAGATTCCATAATAGTATTGGCTATTATTACTCAACTGTTCTTAATGACACTTTTCAATTATTCTTCATGTTTCCTAGACTTATTATTTGGATATGAATGTCATACAAAATCATCAAAGCATATTTCATATATAATATATGTTTTATTACCTCTGTCTGAAACTCTTTTTCACCCTGTTTTGAATCAGTGGCGAGAACTTTGACAGCAACAGTCTCACCAGTGGACATTTGAGCTTTGAAGACAGGTCCAAATGCTCCTTGGCCTATCAAAGACGTGAAATTACATGTTGCTTTCTGCAAATCCCTGAGTCAACCACCAAAAAAGCATATATCTAAGAACAACATATAACACCAAGAAATGCAAGATATATCATCATAAATCCGTCAATATTCAACACAACAACCAACCAAACACTCCCAACACATTATATATCCCCTTCTTACAAGACAAAAAGTCTAATCCACATTAGTTAAAAAAAACAAAAACAAAAAACATTGCTAAAAAAAAAACTCAGAGACAAACCTGTAAGAGTATTCTAAAATGCCAGAAGCAGAGATGACACTTGTCGACCTCTTACTAAACCCATCAAGCCAACTAGACCTCCCGTTGTTGCTCGAGGACCTCACCGGCGAATCAGGACCAAGAGTAGAATCAGACATAATGTTGCAAGAGTTAGCACCGTTCTCTCTGATGGGAACCGTCACACTTCTTCTGCTTGAGCCACCACTGTTGACAATCTGAGATGTCTTTCTATGGTACCTAAAACAGAAGAATGCTGAAATAGCTAACAACACACCGATCACCACACCTAGTGAGATCCCTACGATCAAACCAAATGATTCTCCTTCCATTTTTTTTCTTCTCAACAATGTAATCAAAAAGCCTCTGCGATGAAGAAGAAGAAGAATATATGTTTAGTGGGGGAATGTGAGAGGGAGAGGAGGACGACAACTAAACTAAATTAAATTAAAATATAAAAGGAAAATGATAGCTAAGCGTTGACAATCTCAACTCTTCAACAAAAGCTTGCGGTGAAAATTCATATCAGCGTGAATCAATTCGTATCTTCAATCCTATAATAATATTAAGTAAATATATATATTATTATCATTATTATACCCCTCTCAAGAAGATAAATATTTAATGAGGTTTTGAGAAGATCAGAGGTCAGATTTGACTTCTTTGCGAAATTCAAGCTTGGGTCAGTAAATGGTTATTACTAGCATTCAGGACCGTTCTCGGGAACTTTTTTTTTTTTGGAGAAACAAGGAAACGGTTTAGATGGTTTGATTAGAAAAGGAAGAAGGGATGTGAAATTAATCTGAAAAATGATAATCCCGGAAAGTCTCACCTACTACTACTACTACGCAATAGAAACAAAGGAGATGTGGATATACCTGTGGTGGTCCTGGTGGATATATGTGAAGTTCTAGAAAACTGCTGCATTTTCCATGCTTAGAAGAAAGAAAGTTTGAAGAGAAAGGGAGAGAAAAAATTTCGAGAGCTTTGCTTTGGTTGCAGAGAAAAGAATCCAATAGAGAGAGAGAGAGAGTGAGTGAGAAAAAGACAGAGAGAGAGAGAAGTAGAGAGGTTCGACTTCAAGCAAACGATTACAAATGGCAAATTTTAAAACTCTTTTTTTTTTCTTTTTGAAATGTGTAGAAAAAAAAGAGTTAAGGAAATTTTATTAAAACTGCAGATGAAAACGAACGGAACGGGAAAGTTTTGTTTTTATGAATTTGTTTCCTTTTAACTAGTTGTTTTTTATTGGAAATGACGTTACTTCTCCTATGTAGAAAATTGAATGCTAGTATAAGATTTGAGTTTTTATATTTCTCCAATCATTAATTAATTGAGAATTGTTATTTAATGCTTGGGTTAATCTCGATGTTGTTTAATCTTGGGTAGTTTTTTCTTCCTTTTAGGTGTGGATTTTCAATAGTACCAAAATGATTATTATGGTAATAAACTAATAAAATAAATATTTACTTATCAAATTTTTTGACTATTGGCACATTGTCAAATAATGTGTAAAAAATGTTGATAAAAGTATCTCTGTGCAATAAAGGAAAGTGTATTTTTTTTTCTTTTTTTTTTGTAACAAAGGAAAGTGTATATAAAATCAATATAATGATAGAAAAATGAAAAATGTGTTTCTGTCGTGGGCGTTGTGTGGGTCCCCCAAAATGGGTATGCTTATCATGATTGGATGCATTTATCTTTTGGGATTGTACATTCTCCTTCGCAGTGGACTTTTTTTGTGTCCCGGGATGAATTTCAGGGGTTATGATTACCTGCATCGAGGTCTGTCAAATGCTTTCTGTACGGTCTATGAGTTTGGATCCCCGTTCGACTACAGTTCATATTTATTCGGATTTTGAGTTTTTAAGGTTATAAATATCAGTTCATATTACCTGCATGTAGCTTAGGATATCCGTTCAGCTTTAAATTAGATATTTACTTTTCATTATTTGTATATATTTTAAGTATTTTATATAATTTCACAATATTTTATGTATTTGAGATTTTTGGATATTAACTCTAAAAATAATTAATATATGTAAGTATATAATTGTGATGCAAATATTTTTGGATATCCAAAATGTACCGATTCAGGTTGACTTTGATTCTAGTTCTCTAAATGTCAATTTTTGGAACCCTTTCAAAAATAAAGAAATTCTTTAAGATAGAGCTAAAAATGTTTTTGTCACAAATATAGATTTTGAAATAAAAATTAAATAAAAATAGATTTAAATATTTTATAATAAATAAGTAAATATACACTTATAACATTTGGGTTAACTAATTCTATACTTTTTTGTTTAGAGTTGACGAGTGGATTTTGAGGATAGGATTTCAAATATTTTTTTAGCAAGAAAAAATTAAAATTTTCAAAATAAAAAAATGTTATTTTGGTCATTTTAATTTTTGAAATCTATTTTTGTGATAAACACTTAAAATGTCTATTTATGCGAATTGCCCTTTCAAATATCTGACCAGACTTTAGTCGAATTAAGTACTACTTTTTGAATTGTTTTTTTGGATTGGAGTATTTTGCTGCTCTACCCTCAATTTCTTGTGATCATCCAGAATTTATATGAAAACATAAACTTGGATGGGTATAATTGGAGGAAAACGGCATACACTTAGAAACAGAACGAGTGAAAATAAAATTCCTCCAAAAGACATATAAAAGGAGAACAGTTGCAGTATATCAAAGAAAAGAACTCTAAGCCATAGCCAGCTATTAGGATCAAGCCAAAGAAGCTATCTAGCAAAGAAGTCCATGTTTCCGTCGATTTATTTATGAATACGTCTTAGCCATAAATTTGTTATATATAAATATTATTTTAGCTTAGTGGTTATACACTCGACAAAATAGTTTTGGTTTGGATATAGAGTTTTTTTTCTTTTGAACACCAGTAATCCAAATTCAAAACTGCTACAATACATATACATATGTATACATTAAAATGATTATATCCTTTTTTGCTTCCAAATTTGTAAACTCTAGGATCACTCTACTCAAAGCTACATATATTTAAAATTAATTAAGCATAAAAAGTTAGAAATGATTAATCCAAAAACTTAGATTCAAGCAACCCAATAACATGTAAGAACACACCACTAAACTTTTTTTACTATTTGGAGATCAAATACTTACCGAAAATGCGTCCAACTATCGATAAAATGAACTTTCACTGCAATTTACCCTCTATATTGCATCCTTTTCACTATATCTAAAAGGAAAAAAAAAACAAAAAGTGATAGAAATTTAACCTTCTCTTCATAGTCCATATAGTTTATACATTTGTTTTTCTTATGCTAATTTTCTAATAATTACTCTATTGTGTAAATTTATTAAACTAAGTGTTTTGTCTGCACATGCAAGTATAATCATGTTATAAATATGTATATGTGCGGGCATAATCATATTAGAATATATATGTTTTTGATAATTTTTTTTTAGAAATTTATAATAGTTATCCAATAGAACATAGAAATCTAATATTATTTAATATAATTTATGTTTTTAACTATTTCAATAATAAATTATATATATAACTATTTATTAAGGACACTACTTATATTAACAGCTCTAGATTTTAATGTGAGAGTTTGAATACGAAAAGTCTTATTTTCGGATAGCAATCGAGTTTATGTAGGAATTATATTTTTTAAGAATATTTACGTTTTTGATCATTTTTATTAATTTATAATAATTATCCAATATAAAATATAAATCTAATATTACTGATATAATTTTTGTTAATTAACATAAATTAGATATAACTATTCATTGAGGTATGAACGATATTAACCACTCTAATTTTCTAATTTTTAATGTGAAAGCTCGACTGCTCACTTCGCAAATAATAGTATAGATCATATATATTATTTTCATAATTTTATATAAGAAAAATATTTATATACAAATATATCTAGTCACCTCAGTTTGAACAAGTTTATCCAAAAGCATGATCATCTTGATCATTTAGTCTCACCAACCCCGGAATTTCATATATGAAGTTAAACGTGTGTAAGTTAATTATGTTAGAGACTGATATATGACTTCCAAATATCCGATTTATCTTATGAATACGGTTGAGAGTTTGGAGGTTAATAGGTGAGAAGATAAAATGTTTAACTCTACGTCTATAACCAGTAGCAAGCAATTACATATATCCACCTACAACGCACCTAATCTCACATTCATGAGGATTGTTAGTTGAAGTTCATTTTCATCCAAAGAAACATAAACAATCTGTTCAACTAAAAGTATTACTAAAGACAGAAAAGATAATGAAACCAATTTGTACGGACATAATATAAATTTATTGATGATTTCTCCACCACCATTCTAACATTTCCTTCATGTCATATTTGGAATATGTTAACTTGTTTCAAATTCAGTTCTTCTGATTTGATATCGAGACATTTATTAATTTAAACGTTAACATTAATTCGGAAAAAAATATTTACTTTGTTTGTGCACAAAGAAGATAAAAAGAAGATAAAATCCCGGAATTACTGCCGCAAGTAATTCTAATATACTTGGACAACCAAATATAATACCCACAGGCACACGACACGAAACATTCTCGTACATAAAAAGATTGTCCTAAAGTAAATTTCTTAAACTTCAATGATGCAATTTTCATATTTAAAGAGTTAAAGATCTTTCGTTCTTGTCTACAATTTTCACCCAAAATGATGAAAGTGTTAGAAAAGTGCTTTAACTCTAAATAAACGGTAGGATTTGTCATTTGGACTGAAATTTAGACGCTAAACTTTATAAGTCATGACTTTCTTCTTTATTATACAGAGTGGCTTATGCCAAGACAACCAAGAGAACACGTGCAGATCCTCCATGTTAATGTATTTGACCACTTTATCTATTGTTACGACATGGTGTGAGAGAGATCATTTGTACATTCTACTCTAATTATATATTGTTAGTTTATCAAAATTATAATGTTTCTTTGCTTAGATTTTATGTTATTAATTATCATGTTGGCGTGGAGGATTGAGTGGGCGCAACACAAGATCCGATAATTTCTCTTCTTTGATTATATTTTCTATATTTATCTAGATCCAAAACTCCTTTTTGTCTCTTAAATTTTGAGAGGATGAGAAGAATTTGATAACTTAGAGAGCAAATATTCCTCAAATTCAAAGTTTGCTTGTTACATGGTCTACGATCATTAAGCAAGACATGTCTTCACCACGTGCACGGTAAAGCCCCATGTTCTCATGTCTCCATCTATATATTTTTAGATAGTCGTATACAAAATATGTAGATACACCCAAATTTGGTTAAGGTACAAGTCTACATGTGAATCATGACAATTTTACATAGAAGTTTTTGAGTCAATAATCTACCAGATTGACGTCCAATGAGGCACCCGATACCCGAGCACATATTCAGAATTCAGAAATAACAAATAAGATTGGACATTTAATTGGCTATGGCGATTGGTCGCGGCCCATACTTCGGCCACATAAAAATTCGTTCCACAGACGATTCGTGTGTGGTTTTTTTTTTTTTTTTTTATCAAACCTTTCATTCATTCATAGATTAATAGAGTCTAAACAGAGAGCTAACCCAACAGGGGGAATGCTGCAGCTCATACAATGCTGATTTAGCTAGGGAATCAGCCACTACATTCCCAAGTCGGGGGACAAAGTTAAAAACAACAGAAACAAAAGAGCTTGCTAGCGAAGCAATGTCATGTAAAATACAGAAGGCAGAGGTATCTCGCTCCTTCATTTTTATCAGAGAGATGAGAGTCTTGCAGTCTGAAAACACTGAAACATGTTGAATACCGAGAGAAGTTGCCGTTGAAAGGGCAGCTTTTACCATTTTGGGTGTGTGATAATCACAGAATTTGAACCTCCAAATATTCTACGCCTAATATAAATTTGATGATCGATGATGTACATATATCATTCATAGTGCAAATAAATTATACACAAGCTCAGGAAACTAATCTAGTAATTTTCATTAAACCTGTTAAACTTGATTATTGCGCGGCGTTGTTCAGTGTTCACCAGATGGTTAGTTCCGTGGTCACTGTTTTTCAGAGAACGTCATCTTTGTTGGATATTTGGCCAGCACCGGTAGAAAACCTGAGAATTGGAAACCAACTTAAGTAATATCATCTTGCTCGTCCGTTTCCGGGTGTTAGGGAGCGCTTTTGAGACAATATTATGTTATGATAGTTTTAGTATGTCTTTCTTTCCGAAAATTCTCCAATATATGTCAAAAATCAAAATAGAACAATATGACAAGGGTCACAAGACAGAGCTGAGAACGTGTAAGAAAGAAGGAATTGTCAAGTTTCGAACCATGTTTAGAAGCGATGTTTGGTATAATCTAATGTTTGCGTGAGATTAAAATAGTGGCTTCATTAAGAGATAGAAACGATCGATGATATTGTTGGGCAAAACTGAATTTCGACCACGTATTGAGCAGTATTTTTTTTTGTTTGTTTGAGAAAGATGTATTGAGTAGTATTTTGACATTATATATTCTTTAGATACCCATTTTTGTTACTATACGTGCTGCGTAGGGTAAGCAGATAAACTGAACATTCACATTGATAGACAAACTCTTCTTTCTTTTTTTTCGAGCTCGACGAAACATATTTATTGATATATGCTTATATATCGGTGGCAGTTACTACAATTAATATCAAATATATATACATAATGCTAACATCTTTCCATTAATATTTACTATATTATACTACATAAATACACTTTACGAAGAAACTCAAAACATGAACGGGGTCGGTGAGAATGTCGGAATTACTGGTTCGAAATCATTACTCCTGCAAAACCCATCAAACAAAAAATATGTCAAAATTATATAATAATGAAAACTATAACCTTAACTAAAACAAAGTATCATGTGTATTTGTTTTAATTCTTTTCGATAAATAATTTTGTAAAACAGTTCATAATAATCATTCATACATAACAAACCAAAAGTTCAAGAATTGTGTGTGTTTACCCGAAACCGTCACTGCCGAAACGAACATGACCACCACCGGAGCGAGACGACGCGTCTCCACCACTGACTTCACTTTTCCGACGAACTTTCCTCTCTTCTTCTGATTTCTCATTCAAAGCTGGCTTGTGCTCGGAGATCACGCTGAGGGACGGTCTCCACTCTTGTCCCGGTTGGCCCGCAACTCTGACGCGTTTCCGCCGCCTTCGCTGTTTCACTAGCGACTGCGTTCCTCCGGAGATATGATCATCCACCGTTGCGGCGGATTGGTGGAACTGCTGGGAACCAAAACAAGGCACGACTAGCTCCAACAAGAATTTCATACCCTACACCACTTCTAACCTGAGCCCTTCTCTTTTTTTTTTTTAATTTATAATTTTAATCTGAATCTAATGGCTAAAAATGGGTGATATTTTTTGAGATGTTTATATATATTTCTAGAAATGTTTGAGACGGTTATTCCAGTGGTGTTTCTCTTCTGAAACAGATGCAATTTATAGAAGGAAGACCGAAGTCATGAGTCGCTTGATTACGTGAACATGTGATTTGTGGCTATTACTAAAATGCCCTTATCACCTTATCTTAGAACTGTAACTGGTTTCACGTTGAATCTAGAGGTGGTAGTCTCACTACCATATATCATAATCGGCGGCGGTATAATTATTTCCAAACGAACTCTTGAGATAAAATACCATAATTAACTCTTTTACTTTACCAAATGTTTCCAATTGGGATTATTTATAGAGTAACCACCTCTACCACATATTAACTGAGATTATAGTCGTCTCTTACACCATATTGAGTTACAAAATCGATTGTTTTGTTGAACGAAGATACGGCATTAACTACATCGAGACTGTCTAGTGATTGGGTAGATTATAGAGACCAAACTCATCTGGCCAGACGGATATAAAACTATGTTTTGAATCTCATTTGAATACTCCAAGAGAGATAATCTATTTGTATGCTGCCGTTTCCATTGTAAAATCACTTTTGGTCCTTTAATAAGTTCTAGATATTCCCAAATTCTTTTAAAAAATACGGAATTACATGGTGGCTTAGCAATAACATGTTTGTTTTATCATATTATATTACTAACTAAATCATTCAAATTCAATATCAGTGTCTTTTTTTCCTTCGGAGATTTGTAATTTGTAATCTCAATACGTAATACTTTCTGATATGATCATACGATCAGTATAACTAATAAAATGCATGTGTAAATAATAAGCCGCGATGAAAAAAAACTTTATAGTACAAGAACTTAAGTTTAAACTCTAAGTTCAAAAAGAAAAAAACTTTTTTAACTCTTGTAGATAAGAACTAAATTAAATGAATATACATACCTATCTACATCTCCTAGCAATATATACATGGCCGACGTAATTTTTTTTTTTTTTTTTGACATCGCATGACCGACGTAATATGTGCGGCTAATTCATTTTTTTTTTAACTTATGTGTGGCTAATTCATGAAACGAAAACAACTCCATTTAACCCTAATTTAACGTCAGAGAACGAATAAAATGCTACCACCGTTGAGTAATCACGTATGCGACGCAACAAAAGCGACGATGACTCATCTCCTATTCATTTTTGTACTAATAGTAACATAGTATTCATGAATCTTTTAATCAGTTAGTTATACAGCGACTCGCTAGGTATCATGTGCAAATTTAATTTAAGATATCTTTGATTGAACACTGATACGAATCTATGATCATAACCTACACAACCGGCTAGAAAAACAGCCCAAGAGGACACCTGATGAGTTCGTCGAATTTTCTCACGATCATATTATGTGGTAGCGTTACGCCTCAGCTTAATTTAACGAGGAAAAAAAAGAATGCTAAGTTCATCGTCGATGAAAAAGAACCTGATTAGAAACGTTATCCGACTTGAAAGGCTAGCATTTAGTTTCTTGATGCAGTTATTTGACTTGTGCTTATTCCTTATAACTTAATAGTTGGAAACAAAAGCCTTTCTAAATGTTGCGGTCGACATTCTCATTATAACGAACATTTGCGTCCAAGAACTAGACAATCAAACAACAAAAACATATCATTATCACCATTATAGGCTACCAAAGGTTCTAGCTGTGCGAGAGAGAGTAATGAGTCTTGTTTGTAAAACAGGATTGGTTGCATGAGAAAGAGGGAACTGTCGCACCAAATGTAATTGGGACAGGGGAGGAATGTTATAGTATGAACGGTATATCTCTTTTGTTTTGTTTCCTCTTTTGTCTTTGTGACATTTATTGCATAAACTTATGTAAGCCATTAGTATTTTGATATTTATTTTGTTTTTTTGCTCAGTCCACATGTTGTAGAAATTTACGTGTAGATTCTAGATAGCTCTACGTTAAGATTTGAGAACTCAATGGTGTTTTGTTGTGGGGCAATAACGACATTCCCATATGTTAAAATCATCACAATGGTTGCATTAGTGAGAGTGTTCAGTCATCTCAACAGATTATGAGTTGGTGATTGGCTAGTGGCTACGGACCCATTGGGTTTAATGAAAATGTTCAATCAGATTGGGGTCCAAAGTTTTTTGATTCACAAACATAATTTACAGTTCATAAGAAAAAACAAAATCCCAATATATTAGAAGATATTATTGTACATATATATAAAAATCAACAGACCAAACCGGATCTGAATGTTATAAAAACCAATCAATCTCAATTTAAACCAACCAAAATAAAATCATTGCGGTTAGGGTTAGATCAATAATAAATTCAAAAAAAAAACACAAATAACCACAAGTCTTTCAGACGAAAACCATGTAATTTCCTCGGAGAGATTTATACACTTGCTATTTGCCTTGTAAATGATAACTTTTGGTTATTACTCAAAATAATATAATTTAAAGTTTGTGGACTTCTCCAAGGTACAAGACACTACTAAGAGACAGTTCCATCATAGTAGAGAACAGAATGAATCATAACACTGATACAAAGATCCGTCCCCAAAGATTGAAGCAAGAGTCTTGTTTCAATAACGGTTACCATACGGAGGAGGAGGCATGTTGTTCTGAGGTCGATATGGCTCTCTTGGTCTTGCATACTCTGCGAATATGACCCACCCGTCAAGAAACTGCAGAGAACACACAGAGGAGATAATTAGCCCTAAATCTCAGTATATAAAATAGATCTTGATTAAACAATTTGTATGTGAGAAATGGGTTTTAGAGTTATTGTTACCTTGCCATCCATTCCAGCAATGCCTTTAGCAGAATCTTCTAAGGTGGCATAACGAACAAATCCAAACCCTTTTGAATATCCTGAGACTCTGTCTGTCACAACCTTGGCTATATAAACAAATCTGACAGTTAGTTCTCTGTTCGACTAGTATTCGGATAAATGTTCATAAATAAAGCAAGTTTTATTACCATCAGCAACTTCTCCAAACTGAGCAAAAGCTGTCCTAAGACCTTCAGAAGTGGTACGCTTACTAAGCCCTATAAAAAAAAAAGCAGATGTCACAAAAAATAAACCTTTAGATTTCAAATATTCCAGCTTATGATATAACAAAACCGAACTTCAGAACATGACTATTAGTTCCAGACAAAGATAGTAATCATATTCTTCAGACATACATAGGGATCTCAAATGCAAAACCAAACAGGAGTTAGCTAAAGGAAATCATCTCTGTTCATTTTCTGAATAAATATTAAAATACCAAGGATCTTTTTTGAGCATCAAATAGCTAATAAGATAAACACTAAAATAACTTAGAAATGAAAAATGAGAGATCGAAACACGTGTGTTACCTGAGACGAAGAGATTGGTGCTTGGATCCGCCTGAGGACGAGCCGGAGTTTCGGAATTAGCCGGTGGGGAAAGGAATGAAAAGTTTGTAGCGTTTGAGCAGAAGAGACGTCTCAATCCAACGGGAGCAGAGGCCATTTCCGTCGCTGCTCTCGCTATCGCCGGGAGTCTCATAGCCATCGCCATTGATTTAATTGAAAGATCGGCGTATTGTATCTTCGAGAAACAAAGGTTTTAACTTTTGAGAGCTAAAACCCTAACGAAAAGCCGATCAATCGATTTAAGATTTCTGCGAACAAAAGGGTTTCTGTGGTTCTAATTATTCAGGCCATCCTTGATAATGGGCCTGTTCTAGTGGCCCAAACTGAAGCCCATGAAAGTTTCAGCTAAAATCGAATTCTGATTTACAAACACACGTCTCTCCGGTGGTTCGTTCAAAACAGAGTCCTCCTCCGATGGATCTCTTACGCAACTCCTACGCCAATGACTCCGACGACGAAGAACCTGAACCGGTTAACGATAACAACCGGTTAAAATCTATAACCGACACACCGTCTCTTCCGTCCAAGCGCCCATATCCTGAACCGGAGGAGGGACATTACAGACCAGCTCGTAAACCAAATCCTCCATACAATTCTAATCCGGATCCTCCGGTTCCAGGACGGTACGTTTCCAAGAGAGAGCGTTCCCTTCTAGCCTCTCTTTCAACTGTTCCAACTCAAAATCAAAGCTCCGATTTGATTCAGAAACCTTCCGTTAGCTCTCCTACTGGTAAATTATGATTACTCTGAATCATCATTGTTAATCTCTGTTATCTTCTGTTTATAAAGTATTTAACTTTCTTTAAATATCAGTTCTCGGGAGCATCTCTGATTCGCAAGTTCCCCGCCATGTTTTATCACCAAAAGGATCCTCCTTTCGAACCGGAATGCCGAGTAGGATGTCGGTTTCGTTAACCGGTCATGCAAAGGCTGTAACTTCTATTGATTGGTCAACAAGTCATGGTATGTTCTTCTCGAAAGTTTTGAACTTTTTATAGAGTTTGTGATTGGTTAGCTCTGTTATTTTGTTTGTTTATGTCTATGATATGCTTAGGGCTAGTTATCAATCTTTGGTTATATCTCTTTGTGTTAGTGAAATTTGTAAACTTTATAGAGTTTGTGATTCGTTGACTTTATTAAGTGTTGAGCTTACTCTTTGTATGATATGTTTAGGGCTTCTTTCTTGTCACCAATCATTGGTTATATCAATTTTCTCATTCATTTGTTCATTAGAGTTTTTTTTGCAGTTCATCTCCTTGCTTCATCGGGGCTAGATGGTGCTGTCTACGTGTGGAATGTGTGGAGCAGCGGTGAGAAGAAAGTACGAGCTTTTCTCCATCACAATGCTCCTGTTAAAGACGTGAAGTGGTCGAAGCAAGGGCTATCTCTTCTCTCTTGTGGATATGACTGCACTTCGAGGCTGTTTGATGTTGAGAGAGGGGTGGAGACACAAGCTTTCAAGGAGGACCAGGTTGTTGGAGTTGTTAAGTTCCATCCAGATAATGTCAACCAGTTTCTCTCGGGAGGGGTCAAGGGTAGTCTTAGATTATGGGACATTAGGAGCAACAAAGTTGTGCATGAATACATCAAGGATCTTGGTCCGGTTCTTGATGTTGAGTTTATGGCTTGTGGGAAGCGGTTCATCTCTTCTAGTGATGTTTCTGGAAGGAATATAAGTGAGAACGCTGTTATAGTTTGGGATGTTTCGAGAGAGGTTCCTCTATCTAACCAGGTCTATGCAGAAGCATACACATGCCCTTGCATCAAACATCACCCGCGAGACTCAGTCTTCATCGCTCAATCACACGGGAACTACACAGCGATCTTCTCAACAAACCCGCCTTTCAAGCTCAACAAATACAAGAGATATGAAGGTCACTGGGTCGCAGGTTTCCCTATCAAATGCAACTTCAGCCCTGATGGAGAAACCTTGGTCTCTGGCTCGTCTGATGGTTACATATACATGTACGGATACAAATCCACTGAGCTCATTAAGAAGCTCAAGGCTTATGAGCATCCCTGTGTGGATGTTGCATACCACCCTGTATTGTCTAACGTGATCGCGTCTTGTAGCTGGGACGGACAGGTCTCTGTTTTTGAGTAATCTCACAGTGCTTTTTTTTGTTTTTTTTTTTGTGTGCACAATATCTCACAGTGGTTAGTACCTTGAATGTAATGTTATAAAAGCTACTTCTAATGTTAACCTTAGAACATTTTAAAGAATAGAGTTGAATAATTTCTTAATCAAAATTTATGAATAATATATCTTATAAAAATTGAATCACCTTATTAAATTAGAAACATTAGGTTGGATCTAACATTTATTTTGTAAATTTTTAAATTAAATACATCTTTCTACTTTATAGTTAAATCTACATTAAATCAGTAATATTTCTTTTTTTTATACTATTATTCATGTTTCCAAACAATATAATTTTCTCTTTATATTACTATTCTTATTTCCAAACAATATAATTTTCTCTTTATACTACTATCTATGTTACCAAACAATATATTCATTTTTTTATACTATTACCACTGTTTTTAAACAACTCTATAATTAATTTTATGTCCAAACAATACAAAATATTAGATCTCACAATTTTCAATAATTTTTCACAATTTTCTTTCAAATTATATAGATAAATTAAAAACACTAATAATATATAATACAAGAAAAATACTTATTTTTACATGTTTAAATAATAAAAAATCCGTTATCTATCCGTTCAATCAGTTATTCTCGGATTTTAGTGATTTTTAAATGCATATTTTTAAAGGTCAAAATTGAATTATCGGATCACCGGTTTAACTGTGGTTTGGGTTAAATTTAAAAATATTGATTTAAATGTTAAAATATTTTAAGTACATAATTTTTTTCAAATTACCAAAATATTTGTTAAATTATTTATGAATTTTTTTATCATTAAATATTTCACACTTGCAAAGTTAATACCAAAGTTAAGTTCGAATTTGAATATAAAATAAAGCTTATGGCCAAAATTTTAGAAATTTGTATATTATTTTAAGAACTATGGATAATTATTAACATCAAAAATAACTAAACTTTCAATTTATTTTTAATGCAAAAGTTAAGTTTGAATTTAATTTTGCACTTCGAACAAATATACAAAATTAGTGTTTTCACTGCACGGTTACATCTACATAACATACTGTTTGGTGCTATTAATATAAAAGACAATTTTGATATTATTTTTAAACATAAAATCGAATTGAAAAACTCGAAAGTATATAATACTAAACTATATAGAATAAATCCAAAAAATAAACCTGTACGGGCACACGGATCATGATCTAGTATCGTATTATAGTATAAGTATTTTAACGTACCGTATGCATATGTTAACGAAATTTGTAATTCTGTTGTTAAATTTTTCTTCTATTAACTACTGAAAATATGAGGTGAAAACATTTTAGAATTATGATCAGTGACCAAATCCTACATGTATGGCACTATATGGATGCAAAATGCACTCAGTTATTTTTTAGATGTGTTTTATGGAAAAAAAAACTGCTTAAATTCTGACAATTGCAGTTAAAACATGTGTGTGTATCCATTGAAAATTTTCTTAATAATACCCCTTAATTGTAAAATTGATGATTTTATCATTATTTTTATATATACTGAAGTGTACCCCCATACACAAAGTACAAAGTAGTGCCAACAAAACGATACATTGAAATACTAGTGACAGTCACACAATTTTTAAAGCTAATTATATCTAGAAAAAACGTTTTGTTCAGGAAAGAAAGAGCCGTATACAAGACAACATTTCACGTATACAGAATTGAAGTACTGCATACAGAAACCATACGGTTTCTCACATTCGTAGACGTGAATACAATCTTTTTTTTTTTTTTAAAAAAAATTGATAGGATTTTCCATGGACAAATACAATCTTCAACCATTGGTATTATACTATTTTATCTGATTTTTAAATATAATAAAGATCACTTAAATATAAAGCACTATAATCGAAAATATCACATAAATTTTAGAAATATCATACACAGAAATATTATACATTATTTGTCTGGATTTTTGGTTTAGAATATCAAAGTTCCTCATAAAAATTGGAAACACACAAAAGGATAATGAAATGGTGAGACATATAGCTTTTTCAGGGGGAACAATTTAAGATAGTGGGATACCAGAAAGAAAAGAAAAGAGAAGTTTCCTGATCTTTCACACCCAGTCACACAAAAACCATATAATATATTATTGCCAAAACACATACACCACAACTCATCAAAAAAGAGGAAACAATTATTTTTAGGAAAATCCAATTTAGAAAAAATATTGATTTGAAAAGTTTTTTAGAATTATCCATCCTATCATGATTCATCACATTTTTCCTCTTCTTCGTCTTTCTTTTTGTCTTTTTGATCGCACTAAGTAGAGACAACCAAACAGTTCATATTCAAGACATTGCTTGGTCCACAAACACAAACCCTTTAAAGTTTAAAGGTTTTCCATTATCAAAGTTTGTCTTCAAACTTTAGTTGTATTGAATGAATCTAATTAGTACCTCATCTTCAATAGGCAAGGTGTCTACGAATTATTCAAAATGCTCATACATTTTTACCGCAGATGTACATTAAAATTCAAATGATAATCGATTTTTTTTTTGCGATATTGAAAGATTTTTTTTTTTCAAATGGTCTAAATTGTCAAAAACATAAACAAATTCTAACTTATATTCACATGGTCTTTGAAAAAAATTAATCTCGTTGTCAAATAATAACCACTCAAAAGTTCCACCGAAAACTACTTGTGCATGACGTATGCGCATATAATGAACTTTTAAAAAATTAGCTAGAACTATGCCCTAGTCCAACATTGATGCACTTAACAATAGTCAATTGTGTGATTTGATTCGATTTGTTTTTCTTTTATTTTTCATATCTACCTCTTAACTTCCATGGTCAACACCTTTTCGCATATTTCCTATAGTTTCCTCCCGTTTAGTAGATAATTCAGTGAAAATTTTCAAGATTAGGGTCGAACGTGTGCGTCTACTATCCTTACTGGAGTATATTCCTAACCTCCTGTTTAATAATTTAATATATTATTTGTGCAAACATATTTATCACCCTATTTGCCTAGCTACGGAACCTATCATCTATACAACTCTGTGTTTTCCACATATGTCTTGAGTTTGTTCCCCACCTTCTTTGGTTTCCAACAAAAGATCTTCTCCTTTTCCTTCTTTTTTTTTTCTAACTTATTCTACCAATATATCATTTTCTCTCAAAATTAATATAAAGGGCACTGCTATATCCAAGCTAAAATATCCATCATTGCGTCATCCAAAATGTCACTATCTAAATTATTTTTATGCCCTCTAAGTTCCACACTTTTTAGAACATTTCATTCCCCATTCCACAATTTATTCTATTTTATTCAAAAATAAAATGAAAATGAAAATGAAAAAATAAAAATATTATTTTTTTGTTCATCATTCCATTTTTTCACTCTATGTTATAATAAATCATAGAACGAAAATAAAAATGCACTTAGATCTTTACAGTGATCCGACAAGAATCAGCAGTAGTATTGTTGCTTGGATTTACTCTGTCAAAATATAGCAAATTCATGTAATATAGCATCGTGTAAATGTGTAACATCATGCCTTATGTTGTAATTAACGTTCAAAAAGTCATATGGCTATCCAATGTCTAAAACTCCTTAATCAAAGTTTTGACTTGTTAATGATTTTATGTGTCTATAATATTATAAAATATAGAAATCCTCTATATAATGAATTTACTGATCCAAAAATCATTCAAATTGCGGACTAAAAAGAATATAGCATATATATCAAAACGAAAAGATAAACATAGTTGCCCAAAAACAGGTAAAGCCATACTTTTTCAAAAAAAAAAAGAACTATCCTAACTAAAACTTTGATAGAAGCTTTCATTTTCTGACAAAGGAATTTCATTTTATATATACTGTATAAGTAAGTGTTACTAAAGAAGCAAGTAAGAACTACTACATGAAAAAAAAAAGAACTACTACATGACCAGAGGGAGAGGGAAAGAATCAGACATATTAGAACACTGCTGAATAATATTAAAGGAGAATGACATTACTAAAATTGAAGCCATATCCCTTTAAATTTTACGATGAATAAAATTTTTAAAAACAGGTATTCTTAAGAATGACGTAACCCCATGTAAATTGGAAGGAATGACATGAAATTAGTGCTTCATGTGACTTTGGCACGAAATAGATTAAAAAGATCTAGTATTTGTTTTCAAGGAAAATGATATATAGTGTTGTTCCAAAAAAAAAAAAAGGAAAAAAATGATAGAGTTATTGTGGTCAAGCGAATGTTCGATAGTAATATGGACCCACCGGATCGTGTTATTGGAGACATGAACCGATGGGCGTAAAAAGTTGTTACGACTTAATTAAGAGTTGATTAATTTCATCACTTCTCATTGGATATTTTGCTTCATATGGTCTCCTGACATTTTGATGCACCTTGTATTTATTTATAGGTGATAATACCAACTTGGTTTGTTATTGTGCCTCTCGTTCATTTCTTTCTTTCGCTTAACCATGACTCCATGACCCTACCTTCTTAAAAAGCACCACCTTTGCCTGAAAGTAAAAGAATGCTTTGATTTGTTTTTCAGATCGTCGATAACTTAACTTTTGGAGACTTAAGTGTTAAACCGTATAACATATTTTAAATTTTAGACATTCTAGTTACAGTATCACCACGCATAGAGGTAGAACCATCTATTTATTCTTAATATACAGCTTTATATTTCTTTTTTTGAGAAAGGTTTTTTTTCTTCTTATTGATCAAACATAATCGAGATTATTTGAGTGGTTGACAATAACATTTTGCAATTGATGAGTATAACTAACTTTACAGAATATATATTAATATTTTGTAAACCCTTATTTGAAATTAATTTATAATAATAAACTGACAGTTGTCTGGCTATATATTACTTGGCGGGTTATTATGAAATTGTAGGAGCATCTGCTGCACTAAAATTTCAATGATTTTACTACTAATAAAATAATTATAAAAATGAGATGAATTTTAAAATAAGTTTTTAACAAATTTTTTGGAAAGTTTATTTTGTCAATGGTCTTAAATTGTTAAAAAAATAATTTTACAATTTAAAATAAAAGTTCTTATATTAATTATATACTTATAACTTTTTG